CAATTAAAGGCTAAATAATTTTTTCGTGATTTGTATGGCTGACACGCAGCGACATATACAGTATTATCAGCTGTATGATGTGTTTTTACCCTGAAATGTTTAATTTCGAGAGAGACGTGGCGCGCGCAGCGAGGGAGACTAAATAAACTTGTTAAAAAGAGATCCAGCGCGAGAGAGGCAAAGAGAAACGCATGTTTTTAATTTAATTATGTTTCTTTGGACAATTTTCGTTTTGTACTGTTTTAATTGTTTAATTTAGCTGTAATTTCTTTGGCAATACAAATTTAAAATGTCGCAAGAATAAGATTAGCCTAGTGTTTCTTATTTTGCATCGCAAAAGAAATAAACTCTAAACCCGATGCAACCCTGTTTTAAATTAAAATTACTTAAGTTTGAAACCAAGTTCGAACATTTCAAGGTTTAAATAAAGTGTCAGGACAGTTTTTTTTTAGTGTTCTTTTACATTACACAATAATTTAGCAGACTAAAGACGAGCTTCTTCATTTTCATTTTCTGATGCAATCGGCTGACAATCTTCCTTCATCAGTTTTTGTCGTTTGTGCAGCGGCTGCGGTTCTACAGGAATGTAGCAAATTTATGTTGTAATGATAATTAAACAAAACTCTTGACTTTAAATAAGTAAACAGTTATAAACAGTTACCTATTTAAGCATCAAGGTGGTAAAATATAAACGCTGTAGGCCAACATCGGTTAACAACATGTATGCTACATTGAGATTCGATCTCGGGTCGAATGAAGCTCCTCGAAGCTCGTGTTGTTGCGTTGATCACTGAGCTATCGTCTGTACGCTGTTTAAGTTGTAAAGCCTCATTGATGTAGCCTAAATGTTTTTATTGCAATGTTTTATGTTGAAATGTTTTCATTATTTATTCAATTACATTTCAGTAGCCTAATTTCAGTATTGTGATTATGAATTATTTTAACTACATTTCACTTGTTGAATTCTTCTGCTACCAGCTTTCAATCGCTCTGAATCAGCGCGGTGCGGCAGCAGATTACGCATTAGAGAGAATAAACCGGAATAAACGAACACTTTTCAGAGTCTATGACTGTAGCGCCTCTTAGCGGTAAAAGGCAGCAAATACACCACACATTTTACCGCCGCGGTGGAACGGCTGATGTGGGCATTGTCATGGCTTGCCTCAACATTTGCGTTTGAATAGCGCGCGTCCTCCGTGGGCGTGTCAGATTAACGCGTAATGAAGTGTAATGAGCTGGGAAAAAAATACTGACAGCACTCTCTTTTCATGCAGATTGCATAAACTGAGAATATTTGTTTTTTATATAAATTACTTCATTTAAAAGAAGAGAATTCAAGCTTCATAAAGAAAAATCTCTCGTGCCTGTGTGACAAGTAATAGCGGAGTTACAGTTAATCTTAGGACGCGTTTCAGAATGGACTGCACTGACAGAGAGAACGCTGAACTCGCATCATGTTTGTTTTTCTTTATTTGGTGAAAAGCACAACACTTTGTTTTTATTGTGAGTATCCACAAAAAAAATAGAAACTTAACAGGATCTAATGATGTATCACACTTATATGTAAGATCAAAATCAACCGAGTATTTTGAGTCTCTTTTGCACTGATAAGAAAAAAAGCGAGACAATCGCGCCGGCGCGATAGCCGACCCCAGGGGGTTAAGGCTGGCAACCCACGTAAAACGTGGGATACAATGAAAAGTATGACAGGCATGCCAGGTAAAAAAGCTGGTGATGAGCTAACCTCTGCTATTGAACTGAACACCTTCTTTACTAGGTTTGAAACCTCTGGGAGTACAGAGAGATGCAGGGTGGTGCTAGAGTTAGTCACGGTGGGCTCTGAGGATAGAGTGACAATTACAGTGGGTCAGGTTGAAAACGTCTTTCGTCAGCTTAATTCACGTAAAGCCACCGGCCCGGCCAACATCAGTGCCTCTATCCTGAAAACTTATAGCAAGGAGCTAGCACCAGTGTGGCAACCCATCTTCCAACAATCCATGGATACACACACTGTCCCCATGGCCTGGAAAACATCGCACATCATACCCCTACCAAAGAAATCATGCCCCAAGGGGTGCAATGACTTCAGACCTGTGGCATTAACATCTGTATTAATGAAGTCATTGGAAAAAATAATATCACATATACTCTCTCAGTCTGTACAGGATATACTGGATCCATTCCAGTTTGCATACAGGCAACAGCGCAGTACGGAGGACGCTGTTGGCACTCTTATGCATCTGGACACTCCGAAAATAAAGCCATATGCCAGGGTACTGTTCATTGACTTCGCCTCTGCATTCAATACAATAAAACCAGACATATTGTTATTGAAAATGGCTCAAATGGGTATAAACCCATATCTCATTCATTGGTACTGTTCCTTCCTCACTAACCAACAACAGCTGGTTAGGGTCAATAACACCGATTCCCCCATGGTCACAACCATCTGCGGTGCCCCACAAGGATGTGTTAGCTCTCCTTTGCTCTTCACACTCTATACCAACGACTGTGTTACCTTTGCGCCCAACCATCATATCATAACATTTTCTGATGATACTGCACTGGTAGCTTTGATGAAGGAGGGGGGAGCGGCCGATCTCTATGTTGAAACGGTGAATAATCTGGTAATGTGGTGTGATCTAAATGCCCTCATCCTCAATACACAGACAACTGAGGAGGTTATCTTCGGCACCTCTCATGAGTGCCATATTACACCAATAGTCATTCACAATCAAATCATAAAACAAAAATCATCGTTCAAATATCTTGGAGTGCACGTGGATAGTGACCTTTCCTGGACCTATCATGTAGACTATATCTGCAGCAAAGTACAGCAGAGAATCTACTTTTTACGGTGACTCCGGTCATTCGGAGCGAGTAGTGAAATCCTGTCCCTTTTCTTTGCTCATTTGAAGGCCAGGATTCTACGGCTCCTGGGAATTTGTTCCAAATTGGTGGGACACTCAGTGGAGATCGCGTTCACTGAAAGCCATACACTGCAAATTGTTAGACTAGCTGAGAAAATCTCCCAGGATCCTTCCCATGTGTTGCAGCAAGAGTATCAACTCCTGCCCTCTGGGAGGCTCTATAGGGTCCCAGAGTGCAGAAAGAACAAATATAAACACTCATTTGTTCCTTTGTCAATATCTCTGTTGAACCAACACAGGAAAGTAAAGAAGTGACAGTTCCCCCCACTTTCACTTTCATCTAATTACGGGTATCGAAGAACACTCTTGCAGGGCGGAGCCCCCATTATATTAATTAAGTATCTATTTATGTTTTTATGTATTAATGACTTTGTTTTAGGTTTTTTTTTTCTTTTTTTTTTCTAGCGTGTTTTAATTGTTGGAGCTTGTATTACAAGACAAATTTCCGTGTACACGGACAATAAAGTGTTATCTAATCTAATCTAATCTAATAACGAAAGTAGAACGCAGTAGAGTAGCATATACAGCAAATGGGAGTCAATGTCGCAGTTTGTGACGTCACAACATGCAAAAACCCTGGGGTCATATTGCACAGAACGTGATTACGTCCATGAGACATCGGAAGACGTAACTATCAAACTATCCAGACAAGACAGTGAGCTCCATCTGCAGGACAGTGTGCCAAAACAGAAACTGAGGACTCTCTTGCTGTCTCATGGTACACCAGTTGTGAAAAACGGATCAGCTGGTAGTCTTGATTCAGTATACTGGTTGTAGGCCTTTGTCATCGGGATGTGGAGACTACTGGCAGTTACTTGATGTGCGCAACTTGTCCGTGTGACATGGGATGCTTTCCAGAAGGACTCTGCAACTCCCTGGGTAGCTCTGTTGGCTTGGACAAGGGCTTCCACCGAACCACTACCTTCGGGCCCGTCCCCTAGAGCTGCCATCTCAACATGCAGTCCTCCTAAGACACTGACAAAATGATCTTCTCCATGTGTAATGGGCCAACTCCACTGTATTTGTTTGGCTATTCTGTACAGAGCCTGGTCCCCAGTGACAACGGTGTCCTGGATTTATCCTCTGCACTGCTTGATTGATGACGTTGTATCATAGCCACTGATCTGGAGTCATCAGGGAATAGGGGATGTAGAGCTGAGATCGAGGGTGAGCTCCTTTGGTTGCAGCTGATTGGCATGAATGGCTGCCTAGTAGATGTGCTCTACAAGTTGATCTTCCAGGGAAAGGTACACTGAGAAGTATCAACTGAAATAAATGCTTCCCACTTGTGGACACTAACATAATAGACAACTCCTGCCCGAGAGAGGGATAGCAAATTAAGAGTACATGAAATATGCCTGAAATTTCATTCTGCATCTTCTCAGACCCTGCAATTTCATTGTAATCCTCACATTATCACTGAATTCACCATTAACGATTCACCTGAACAGTTTATGATGTTGCATATGGTATCATTGTGATCCTTGGCCATCAAAACATAGGGGTAGACATCACATTTTCCATCTTATCATTGGTTCAGGAGATATCATACAAAATACATAATCTGGTTATGGTGGAAAGCAAAATGGCCGCAACAAGACATTTTTTTCAATGGCTCCATTTCTGAAAATGTTCAGGGCAACAAACTCTCATCATCACATATCATCTGGACTATCCGTAACTATATCAGATTTGGCAAGCGACCCAGTGTGTCTCTATATTTGTGCTCTGGAAACCATCAAAGGTTTCTATTTACAAGGCATGCTCTATAGAGGTCTTTGCACACTTTGAGTCCGAAATTTTCACACGCTAAAAAATAAATATGACCTCACGTGTCAATCACGTTTGCACACTGTCTCCGTCATAAAAAAAATTTGGATTGGGTTCGGTTTTCTGCATTTTCCGCATCTGTAGCAAGCACTTTGAGAGGTGTTTTGACAATTTAGAGCTTCCGAATCACGAATACGTAAAAAAAGGCATACAAAAATTTCCTGTGCCAGAACCTTAAGACAGAAAAAAATTACGTAATGCACTATATTGAAATAAGCAGAATGTGTGCATGTTTTGCAGTGGACACAGTGATCCAGTGGTTGGCGGTGGTGGACAGGGTGCATGACTTGATCCTGCGTGCTGTTCTGCTGTTATGGAGAGGTCAGGAGGTGTGCTGGAGAATACTGGAGCTCCACAGCTTCAAACTGGTCTCGACAGGCATCATCTGGGTTTGCGTGCAGGAGGTAAGACATAAACCAGTGTACATCCTACACAAACCTTACATTAGATTAGTTAGACATGCAGTCAAGCTCAACTAGCACCAATACACTGTTACTTACACTCTTACATGCTATTTGTATTTCAGGTATCGCTGATGAACTTTTTGTTTTTGGTGTTTTGGACATTTGCTCTGCCATATCCGAGACTGCGGCCTTTGGCCTTCAATGTGTCTTCTGTTTGGGCCTGTGTGATGGTTGTGTGTAAAATGATGTACCAGCTAAAAAGTATCAAACCATCTGAATATTCTTCAAACTGCACTGCTGTAAGTATTATTTATGTGACTGCTGACTTGGAAACATAATTTTACTGTTATATTACTAATGCACTAGCAATTCTTACACACACACACACACACACACAGCGTGGCAGCCCGCCATAGTCTAATCTGTTTTACCACAGTTTCATAATGAACCGAAACATGGCAATGTTTAATTTCGGCTTTACACACATACATGTGCACATTGTTACCACAGAAACGTGTGAGGTTTGTTTGACGCACACACAAGGTTCCATGTGTATGTATCTGTGTCAATTATTGTGATTACATAATTAATTTTTTGGGTGAACTATCCTTTTAACTCCTTGCAAGTGAAGAAATGTTACTACTGTAGTGTAAGTATATATATTTAAAAAAGAAAAGAGTTATTATGAAATATTCACAGTGCTCTGGCTCTGACTGTGTTCTGTGTTTATGCTCTGAACCACAGTTCGGAGTATCAGGCTTCTTGGAGCTCAGGGTAAGGGGTTAGGGTCTAGTTACTACAGTTCAGAGTATCAGGCTTCTTGGAGGTCAGGGTTAGGGTTGGGGTCTAGTTACTACAGTTCGGAGTATCAGGCTTCTTGGAGGTTAGGGTCTAGTTACTACAGTTCGGAGTATCAGGGTTCTTGGAGATTAGGGTCTAGTTACTACAGTTTGGAGTATCAGGCTTCTTGGAGGTTAGGGTTAGGTTAGGGTCTAGTTACTACAGTTCGGAGTATCAGGCTTCTTGGAGATTAGGGTCTAGTTACTACAGTTCGGAGTATCAGGCTTCTTGGAGGTTAGGGTTAGGTTAGGGTCTAGTTACTACAGTTCGGAGTATTAGGCTTCTTGGAGGTTAGGGTTAGGTTAGGGTCTAGTTACTACAGTTCGGAGTATCAGGCTTCTTGGAGATTAGGGTCTAGTTACTACAGTTCGGAGTATCAGGCTTCTTGGAGGTTAGGATTAGGTTAGGGTCTAGTTACTACAGTTCGGAGTATCAGGCTTCTTGGAGATTAGGGTCTAGTCACTACAGTTCGGAGTATCAGGCTTCTTGGAGGTTAGGGGTTAGAGTTAGGTTAGGGTCTAGTACCTACAGTTCGAAGTATCAGGCTTCTTGGAGGTCAGGGTTAGGATTAGGTTAGGGTCTAGTTACTACAGTTCGGAGTATCAGGCTTCTTGAAGGTCAGGGTTAGGGTTAGGTTAGGGTCTGGTTAGGGTCTAGTTACTACAGTTCGGAGTATCAGGCTTCTTGGATGTCCTTGGGTGGGGCCCTGGAAGGGGTTCCACCTGGAGACTCCATAGTTCTGCTGGGCGACTTCAACGAGTGCGTTGCTTCCCCAAGTAGAGGAGTTCAAGTACCTCAGGGTCTTGTTCACGAGTGAGGCTAGGTCAGAGCATGAGATTGACAGGGGGATATGTGCGGGGCAGCAGTAATGCGGTCATGTACCGGACTATCGTGGTGAAGAAAGAGCTAGGGCTGAAAGCAAAGCTTCGATTTGCCAATCGATCTATGTTCCAAACCTCACCTATGGTCAAGAGCTCTGGGTAGTGACAAAAAGAATGAGATTGTGGGTACAAGCGGCCAAAATTAGTTTTCTCTGCAGGGTTTCTCTGACTCTGAGAGACAGTGCGAAGCTCAAACATCCTTGAGAGACTCAGAGAAGAGACTCTGCTCCTCCGCATGGAAAGGAGCCAGTTGAGGTGGTTCGGGATCTGCTCAGGATCTCTCAGTGGAGGTGTTCGAGACCCCAGGGCAGACCCAGAACATAATGGAGGGATTGCTTTGGGATCCTCTAGGATGAGCTGGATGAAGTGGCCAGGGAAAAGGACATATGGGCATTCTTAGACTGCTGCCACCGTGACCCAGTCCAGGATAAGCGGGGGATAATATGAATTAAATATTATTTTTTTATTTAACAATGCAGTATTACAATAGAAATTTGTTTCTGTCTAAGAAATGTATGATAATAAAATAATAACAATATACAAATATAATAATTGTGCGATATGAACTGAGGCACCATCACAAAAAAAGAAAAAAAAGTTTGAATCCTTTAAAAGTTCAGGTACAAGTCAATGCAAAGACTTTTTTATTTAGCTAAAAATTGGTCAATGAAGAGAGGTTAGATCTCAGTGTTGCCCTTAAAGTGCATACGTGATGCATTTAATATGTATAACATTTTCATTTTGGGAGAGAATGCCCAGTATTCATTCCTAAATACTGGTATTTATTTCTGGCTTTTTGCTTGGCATTATTTGGGATAGACAGATCACTTTTCAATCACACATACAGTAACTTTTACAGTAACCAAAAGATAAAAAGTTAAACAAAATATGATCTATATATTTTGTGTCCTTTTAAATGTCAACATTATTATGTTGAAGTTCTTTAATAGTCCAACCTTCCCAAAGGGCCTGTCATCATCTAATGAGAGTTGGACTGCTGGTAACAGAGCAGAGCTGTTGAGGAGTTCAGTTCTGTATGTGGCACCAGTAGATCCGGCGCTGTGGGTCGGCGGACTGAGGAAGTGTGAGGATCGCATCCTGCCCTGCCTCTGGGTATGCATTTTTATATTTTAATATTAATTAATTACATTCTTTTTTGGAATACATTTTTCAAAAACCCCAAATGAAAAAGCATAACCATTGTTAATGATTCATATTGATGATCTAGGGGAATTATATCTTAGCATATCATGTTTCACATTACAGAATTTAAATCTGTTATGAATGGAGCTTCATGTTGACTTTAACTAAATTGTCTATATATGCAGACTGAAGAATAATGTTTTTATTTTTATTTTTGGTGATTCCAATAGAATCACTTGTTAATTCTAGGCCTCCTTGTGTTTGATGTGACTGTCCATCGCCACCAGCTGCATCACCGTCTTCAAAATGGCCTTAAAGCAACATACAGCAGCACCATATTCCAGGGTGTGACGCATCATAATCTGGACCACGGCATTCTGCCCTCCCTCAGATATTTCACCAACTATTTCTTCTACAAGTTTGGTTTGGAGGTAAGTAGAGTTAGTATGCAATACTTTAATAGCATACATTACATGACTAGTTTCGTTTGAGTTCAACATAACCTTTTTTATCTGTTGATGTGTCTCATCTCATGCTAATGATTTAGTTTTTTAGGTTAATTTGCTGTAAACTACATACTCTTCTTTGCCGTTTGTTTTACAAACAGCACTGCAACTGAAACAATTATAAATCAGAGTAACCAACTAAAAATAGTGACACTAACTTTGTTACATATTTACTAGTTTATAGTTCCTTAGACAAAATTAGCTTATCAAAGTTGGATGTAGTGTAAGTTTTTTTTATGTCACTATAAGAAGCCCAGCCCGACAACAAGGGTTCTTGCTTACCTTTCTTGCACTTCTAGAAAATATCTCCTAAATCATTATATTTGATTGAAATTTATTTTGTTTTAATCTGACACCAAATCTCAAATTTAGGCTGAAATTAAATTTAGATTATGATAGTTGACTAAAATAACAAAGTTACTTGAAAAAAAATGAACATTAATTGAATAAAAATATACAAATACTTGAACTTGATGAAAGCGCCTGATTAAACTAAATTGTGGACAGTTTAACTGTTCAGTGTGGCTGCACAGCGAGCAGCTTAGAGAAACATCAGAAATCTGTTGGATGTCTCCTTTATACTTTGGGATTAAGGGGGTTTTTACAAGATACCCTTTACAACTTAAAAATTAAAACTTTTTATGCGTTTTGGCCATTCATTTACACGACAAAAGCATTTTGGGGTCCCGAAAACGCACAATTTTGAAAACGGGTTTTTAAAATTATTTTGCTTCCGTATAAACTACAAAAACTCAAATTTGTGAAAAGGATGACAATGTGCGCATGTGTAGTATGTGTTCAGTCTATAGGCACGTCGTGTTTTTTTACAAAGTGATATTGCCAACTACTGGCCTGGCAGCAGAATACAGCATTTTTAATAGTTTTCGTGGATCCGCTTGAATGGGGATTGTTTTGACAATGTTGTCATTTTTAGTATATCGTTGTCGTGTAAACGTACACTAAACCTTTGAAACCTTTAGCATTTATTTAGAAGAGATTCAGAAAGGTTATGAAGTTGAAGAATGTTTACAGATTCAATATCTATTTTGCATTAAAGTTTGTAGAGCAAAATAATTATTCAGAATTTTCATCGTTTTGCTGAGAACGATGGTTTTCAAACTAGCATTAGCTTCTAAAAAAATGCACTACATTTTCCATATTATTTTATGTATCAGGTGTGTATTGTGGTAGCAGTAAATGTCATTGGCCAACGGATGGATGTCTGTGCGCTTCTGCACTCTTTCGCTCTAATGGCTGTTCTGGCACGTCGTCGTAGGAAAGCCATAGGAGAAGTGTGGCCAAAATACTGCTGCTTCATCGCAAGCTTCATGGTCCTGCAGTACCTGCTGTGCATCGGCCTACCACCAGCGCTCTGCATCGGTCAGTTACTCAACATTTACTACTGCAGAGTTGACTTGTAAGAAAGGGATACATTTATTTACAGGTCTGTTGCAGAGAATTTGAATGTTCAGGGAGTTAATTAACAGATAAACAAAAGTACATTGTGACAGTATAAACTGTTTCACTACAAAAACATTAGGTTCGTTTGTAACTGTGAGAAACGGGCAAAATGACACATGAGAAGAGGACACTTTCCATTTACCAATCTGATGAAGATGTAACCTTTGGCTAATGGGAATTAGGGAGACAGAGATGTTAACTCAATGCAAGAAATTAACCTTTATTTTATTCTAAAAGAAATCAGCCCTATCTCTGATTCCCCCTGATGTACTCCCCTTCTCTCCAGTGCATACCTACACCTCTTTAAGCTCATTTCAATCTGTTCTATACTCTCACTACAGATCACAATGTCCTCTGTGACCATCACAGGCCATAGGGTTTCTGTCTTATCTCATCTGTCAGCCTTTACATCTCCATTGCAAACAAGAAAGGGACGATCATTGATGCAATCCCAACTTTACCATGAACCAGTCTGTCATTCCTATTGCATACCTCACTGTTGTCACATTGCCCTTATACTACACGTGGTATGCCCTACACATGTTGTCACACTGCCCTGCACCACTCTTATGTACTGTACTTTCCTGCCACTCCTGAATTCTTCATTCAGTGCCAAAGTTCTTCTCTTGGCACCCTGTACACTTTCTCTAGATGCACAACATGCAATGCAACTTTTTCTGGCCCTATACTTTTTCATCAACACTCTCAAAGTAAATTTCGCATGTTTTTTCCTGGAATTAACCCCACATTACAGACCATCACCTCTTCTCTCAGTCTAGCTTCCACTACTCTTTCCCATAACTTCATGATCACAGCAGCTCTGTCTTCAGGCATCCTCTCACTTTGCAAGATTTTATTGAACAATGTGGTTAAAATCTGCACTGCCATCTCTCCTAAACATCTCCATGCCTCCACTGGCATTGTCACGATTAGCCACGCACTTCCTGGGTTAACTTGGACCACATTTCCCATCATACACCTCCCTGGACTGATTACACCAAACACCATACACCTGCACTGCACCGATTACACACACACCTGCACTTAATTTACACACACATAAAAGCCACTTCCACACCACTTCTCTGCGAAGTCTTGACTTTCCTGACTGTCATTCCAGCCCGTTCTCATCCTTTGGCATCATACATGTGACGCTTTGGACATTTCGTTGAAATCTTACGCACATGGCATCCTTTAGCATCAATATGAGACGCAGAACCCAAGGCGTCATACAGGTGACGCTAGTCTAAATCCAACGCACATGGCATCGTTTAGCGTGAATATGAGACGCAGATCCCAAGGCGTCATAACCGTACCCTACCCCAGACCTAAACCTACCCATAACAGTGTGTGTTATATTGACGCTAAAGGATGCCATGTGCGTAAGATTTCGACGAAATGTCATATGGCGTCACCTATATGACGCCAAAGGATGAGAATGCGTTGGTCATTCTGAGTGTTTATCACTGTGGATTGTTTGTTGCCTTGACCTTGGACTGTGTACCCCGTTTCTGATTGTTCTCTGCCTACTTCGACTTGGATTGTTACTGGACCTTGCTTCTCACCGCCTGCACCGACCATTGCTTGTTATCTGGTTTGTCTCTGCCTTTTCTCCATTGCCTTGTTTGCTGGTGTTGATCCCTGCCTTTCTGACTACTCTAATAAAAGCTGCATATGGATCCCCTTGTGTCTGCTGAATCATTACAGGTATGCCATCTGGATCAAAGCTTTTCCACTGCCCTCACCTCATCCTTACTAATCCCCTGCACTTTTTGATGTATACATCATCCCACCTTCTTTCTCTGTCATTTTCTACATTCAGCAGCTCGTCAATATACTCCATCCACCTTCTCAACACGATCTCACCACTTGCAGGACATTTCCAACTGCATCCATTATCATCTAACCTGCAGAACATCTTTCCCAGTTAGGTCTGTCTGGCCAATTGGTAAAAATCATTTTCTCCTTCTTTAGTGTCTAACTTCTCATACAGCCTGGCATACGCATTTCCTTAGCCTTCGCAATATATCTCTTCACCTTGAGCTGCGTGTCCTTGTATTCTTCCTTATGTTACCTGTACTTCCTCACCTCCTCTCGGAATTTCACACAACAGTCTTCCTCCTTCAGCTTTTTAGTTGAAAGACTTTTAGCTGCTGCTCGAGAACCCGATGGAGAAGAATCGCCCAGTCCTAATCTCATACAGAGAAGATAAGAATGGAGAATGGGTCATGCTGTCGGAGGTAAAGAACAGTCCACAAACACAAGTAAAAACTTTGAAAACCCCACAGGTCATGGACAAGAAAGACTCTGAGCTCTAAGAGGTTGTCAAGCAGCTGAGAGAGGAGATCTGAGAAATGAGGAAAGTCATGAGTACTTACTGTTCCGCGCAGCCCTGAGAAAGGAAGCAAGGATGATGTGGGTGTCAGGAGCAAAGTAGAGGTGACCAATGCGATCATTGTTTTAAATGTGGGCAAAGTGGACATCTTTCCAGAGGGTGCAGGGGACCACCTGCAGGAAGAACAGAAAGAGGACACTCAGCTAGCAGTATGGCGGTAACAACTCACACAACAACATCAGTGGCAGGAACATCAATGTGAACTCCTGTGTGACAGCATTAAGCAGCTGGAAGCCCGAGAGGCAGCTAAGCAGAAGGAGAGCCACCTACAGCTTATCAGATCCGTAAGTGCTAATCAGCTGTCCACCAAACTTAATTCACAGTTATTGAATCTGATCGGAGAGAAATGTATGTTGAACTGTTTCTTTGATTGTGTGGCAATGCAAGCGCTATGGGATACTGGCTCACAAGTCTGTCTCATAAATGAAAAGTGGAGAACAGAACACCTCCCACACACAATACTACTCAGCCTCGAAGAGATCCTATTCTGGAGGCCTTACCGGTCGAGCAGTGAATCATACGGTTATCCTGTTCGAAAAGTACCAAAAAGTACTCTTACATGTTTCTGCATGGGACATTCAGCTCTGGGCAAATATTTTGGTAGTGAAATTGCTGCTTCAGTTGTATACTATACAAATGTATGGGGAAAAATCACCTCAAACAAAAGGTTCTCCACAAAGTGTAGGATTGGTGCAAGGTGCTGTTGTGGGAGTATTTATCAATGTAGAAAAAGAAAACCACCACAAATAAAAAGTTCCCCACAAACTTTAGGATTAGTGCAAGGTGCTGATGTGGAAACATATATAATTGTCCAACAAGAAAATCACCATGAACAAGAGTAAGAACTTGGGCATGCACACAGCTATGCACAAAGTTATCCTAACCCCCTGTAAATATAAAAGGCACACATTAGTGATGCACTAATGAAATGAAATTGAAATAAAGTGGCAAATAAAAAAAAACTTACCTTCTGTAGTTGCTTCCTCTTCCGCTTGAATGCAGCAAAGCTTGGCTTGGTGACGAGCTCTTGACATCTCCTAGTGTGCACCTGGCATGTATCCGCATGACTCAATTCTGGATCAGATGAAATCAGTTCCTCTTCCGTCCATCTGCCCGTGATGTTTGCAGTTACAGTTGTGGTCTGCACTATTTCTATCAGCAGTTCCAGAGGTCCGTCCTGCTGCTCAGGGTCTGAGGAGTCAGCTATGGAATCAGATCCACACCAGTGCAGGGCTTGCTCAGTATTGTCAGTAGGTGGGTGTGAGTGCCAAAACTTTGGACAATGGCCTGAATGCATTTTACAGCATAATGGAGCACAAGGCAAGAGTGATAATGAAGTGGCTTGGAGATCATTACAATGAAATGTTGCATCTGTAGCCAGGCATCTCCATGGGTCTTAATCCCATAGAGAATCTGTGGTCAATCCTCAAAAGGCGAAGCTGATATCCAGCATGCCAGAGTGAACTGCAGAGGCTATGAAGAAGGGTCAACACTGTAAATATTGACTCTTTACATATATTGAATGATTTTGCCAATTAAAGCCTTTGAAACTTGTGAAAAGGTCATCATTGTTTTCCAGTATACCATAGAAACATGTGAAAAAATTATCTACAAATACAGAAGCAGCAAACTTTGCAAATGTGTCACTGCCAATACTTTTGGCCATGGCTGTTGTCCAGCTGTGTGCACCTTCCTCACATGTTATACACACCCTGTGCTTCTCCTCCTTCTTAAAAGATTAATTCACCACGGCCATTTCCATACTTTTTACTAAATCTAACATCTTCTCTTTTACATTCCTTTCCATGACACCATACCTACCTTTACCAACATGCCCATTGAAGTCTGCTCCAATCACCACTCTCTCTTTCTAATAGGTAATCTCTCCACCTCTTCATCCATCTTAGTACAAATATCTTTTTTTTCTCATTCATCTCACGTTCCAAATGGACTGGTGACATTTATCATCACCCCTTCAATTTCCAGCTCCACAGACTTTCACCTCCAATACACCATTTCTCTTTCCATCCCCACCATGGTAAAACGGTATGAATGCACCTCCAATGCTCCTGGTCTTACTCCCCTTTCACTGATTGTCTTTTGTATACACATACTTCTTTTCTCCATTCCATCAAATCAGCCAGCTCTCGTTCTTTACCAGTCACAGTGCCAACATTTAATGTTCTGACTCTCACCTCTACACTCTTACCCTTCCTTTTTCCCTCTGTCTTTGGAAACACCTCCCCCTCTCCTCCTCCTTTGCCCAACTGTAGCATAGTGGGTGCTGATCAGCTCACTGGTCAATAGTTCTGGTGGCGGTCGTTGGTGATCCGTTCCTCGACTGATATGGTATGGAAGTCTGGTTTATGATGGAAGTCTGGTTTTACACCTGATGCCGTTCCTGACACAACCCTCCTCATTTTATCTCAGCTTGTGCAACTCCAGTGGTTGGGTTAATGGAGCAGAAGTACAATTCAGAAAAAGAGAAAATTGGATTCAATAACAAAAAAAATAAGTCTCTATTAATGAGTCAAACCAAGAGTTTTAGGTAAGAACATTGGACAAAGCGCAATATCCAAAAAGCATGTGTCCTAATGAAACATGTCCACTCTGTGCTAGATTATCCCTGGAGGAAGTCATCTCTGGCTTTGAGCTCTAATCAGATAAAGTGGCTGTATCTACCAGACTACGCCACGAGTCCCAACGCCACCTTCATCCTTTGTAACTTACTCCATCACACCACATTGAATTAACATTTATTCCAAGATAAATGCGTGTATCACTCTCATTTTCTAATTTCTTTTCGATCAGATGACTGCCTGCTGTTGTTGGTGGCGTCTCTGCAGTGGCAGGTCTTTGAGGATGAAAATCAGGCTTGCATGAGACTCCTGGCAGGAGAGAATGTGGAGATCAGCCGAAACCTGGATCCTCAAACCCTAAACCAGTACACTCCTGTCAACAACTTCCTTCATTGCCGGTATGTGTTGGTTTTCCATTAGTGTACATTTCCTGAACAAAACAATGTATATTAAACAATGTATATTATATTAGGTCCTTAGCAAAGTATGCATTAAAGGTTGTATCAGCGATTGTGGGTGACGTCACTTCTGTTTGTGTTTGAAGCGAGATCCCAAACAAACCAAGTTAGCTCGCCCCTCCCTCCCATTTCGTGCATCATGAAAAAAAACGTAACACACACTAAATCCCTACAATCTGATATTCGCTAGAGCTATCCAAGTTTAGTCGAGCTTCACTCATATTTTTTAAAGAAGGATATTTTCACACACAGTTCACATCTGAAAAAGTCAGCACTAGAAGCTACTCACCTGTCCAGAAGAAACAGTGCAACCTCAGCGTCCGATTTAAAATTTATCAAATCTTTAAGCTCTCTCCACCGTTCAAAAGCCTTCCCAATTCTTATTCGTTTCTTTAACGAATAACGACGGTTTTCCCTCGCCCTAATCCTCCTCCTCTTCTTGGGGGATTGCCTCTTCCATGTTCACTGTATCTGGTCCGTTGATGGACGCGCTGGCTTCTACTTCAGCTCTGACTTCGCGTGCAGGCGCCGTGCACGAGCGCAAAAACAAACAAAACTCGGCCCTGTCGGTGATTGGTTGGAACACTGTTTATTTTGGTTTTGAGTGGTGGTTGTACTCATTTGTTTTTGTGTGCAGATCTCAGAGCCTAGGCTGCCTACAGAGACGCGTTTTTTTGACGGCCTGCTTATGGGGCGGGCAGCTTGCGGATTGCTAGGAAAGATTAGATGAATGTGATCATTTATGTTTGGGCCTGAAATCGCTGATACAACCTTTAATAACTCATTATTTCAAGTTTTTGACAGTTTTGGGATTTTTGCTCACAATTTCTGAAAATATTGATTATTTTCTCTAAACTCTACACACAAATGCCCTGATCACATACAAAGCATGAAAAACACCACAAACACTTATGCTGTATTCCACCCGAGTAGACCACGTTCCAGTACACAGTCGGAAAACTAAGATGGCAAACATTTGTTGTGCTAGCTCTTTCAGAATTCAGAACATAGAACATGGTATTTTTTAAAGTAACAGCTATTGACTGCTTCATTTTTAGACGACTTAAATGAATTCCTATATAATTTCCTGAATTCCTAATTTTCGCATTTCATCATCGGTGCACCATGCGCCTGTACGTGACTGATAATAGGGACTCTAAGCAGCAGTTGCTGATACAACAGCAATAGCGTTCTGTTGCGCACACGCAAATTAACTGCTACTTCTTGACGTTCTACTGTAACCGTCTACTACAGGAAAATAGCCTATTTGCCGTAGTCAATAATACATGACAGATTAGATAAGTCCCTATAACGGCCGTTCCGCAAGCTTTTCCGCAAGTTAGATGTTGTTTCAGTTAACTTTGATATGTTTACAAGACAGCAAACTCGGGTTTGATAATGGTAGTGCTAGAGCCTATACAGTATAGGCTACCTGTCTGTGTATTACATAATAAACTAAAAACAAGTTTATATATTTCCACGTCAAATTTTTACTCGCACATTCTCAAAAAAATTGTTAAATGTTATGTATAAAATGTTGTGATATGTTATGCTTTTGTGTGTGTGTGCCTTCAGGTCGTTTCTGGACATGTTGAAGCTGTTTGTGTTCAGTTATTTTTTCTGGATGGTGTTATGTCTCATCTTCATCACTGGAACCACAAGAATTAACATCTTTTGTCTGGGTTATCTGGTGGCCTGTTTCTACTTCATGCTGTTTGGAGGCACATTACTGCTGCAGCCAGTGCAGTGTGTGCTCAGACTGTGGGACGGTCTCATAGCATACACCTGTGTGGTCATCAGCCTCAAGAACATGCTCTCAGTAAGCACATCTCTGAGTGTTTCGGCATGCCCTGTGGTATGATTCTGTGACCAAGAGAGGTCGAACAATTAAATATAACCATGCTATGCCACTCTGGGAATTTCACCCAGAGAATAACATAATTTCTGCCAATTAAAGACAATTTCTATAAGGGCAAAGATAACACAAAGTATTCAGAGATGTAGTTTTTGAGTTCATATGTTTATTAAATGCCATGCACAGATAAAATCAGATCAATACATAGATATGGTTTCATTAAATTACAAACACATAACTTGTATACTTATACTTGTAAACTTGTTACATATACTTGTAAATATAAACTTCTGTGTACAGGTTTTCAGCCCAGCAAGCAATGTCAGAAGCACTTTATTTTACAGTCCTGTTTCCCAGGTTCACACTATATACTTATTACAATAATTACAATAACTGGGTTATAACTAGGTACTAACACTGAACCCACACCTATGCAGTTACCTTATATTACTCAGTACTTTCTTGGGTAAGGACAAGTAACACTGTAAGTACTCATGCTGTAAAATAAAGTGCAACTGTTATATCTTATCTGAATTTAACTGAAGAAAATGACTGGTTTTATATCCAATATTTAACACTGTCAACTTGGATAATTTAGAAATTTCACCTGGTCTTGAACTATTTAATGGAGTATCATCTGCATACAATGGAATCTAATCCCATGTTTTCTAATAATATTACCAAGAGGCAGCATGCATACTGAAAATAGCTCGTTATTCCTCTTAAGTATAAGCACTTGTTGTGTTTGTGTGTGTGTGTGTGTGTGTGATCAGCTTGGCTCTTGTGCTTATCTGGAGAGTCTACAGAAGCACGGCTGTTGGCTCATCCAAGCTTTTAGCATGTTCTGCACCATCAAAGGCTACAGTTTACGTGAGTAACCTCATGGAAAAGGATTCCTTGTAGAGTAATCATATCATTAGTACACCACTGCAAATGTCATATTTCATTTATATTTTCAAATCTGTCAATCGGCTATGTACACTCTGCAAAGTTTTGCGGATGACAACTGCATTTATTAATGCACACCTGAGGTGTAATGGCAACTCTACTTCATGTTGTGGCCACATTATCACCTCAGCTGTGCATAGATTTTCAATATCTCAGTGATTATTCTTCAGTAATTCATTGCATATGTCTAAGAAATACAGGAACCATGATGGATGAGAGAATTATACCAATGTTTTGGCATTTCACGATTGTTAATGAGAAACACAGGTGACTTGTTTGGTGTTAGCTATTTTTCCCAAAACTAACTATTTGAGTCCTATTATTGTCTAAAAATGGTTTGTAAACTACCACTGACTCATTAACCCAGTGCTTTTAATTGTTTTTTCCCCCCACCTTGTTAACTGTAAAAACATAAATAACCAAAGACTACTTACTATTCTTAAGTTCTAACAACTTTCACAAACAAGCAGTAATGAATCTCAATACAGCTTTTCATAACAGTATTTGCTTCTCATGATGGCTATTGGTTGTGTGTGTGTAGTTGTGTATGTACAGTATAGCATAGTAGCCTATAGGCCTACATTACAAAGTGATTTTTGAAGTGTAAATCTACATTAAATGTACTGCAGGAGATTTAACTATTCAACTAATAAACAAACGTCTGACCAGAGAAGAGATTCTGCAGCAGAGATTAGAATTAGATCCGTTCTAAAATCTTAAACTTAGCATAATGGGAAAGCAGTTGATCAGAGGCATTACATCAGTTAAATGTGTGTTATATCATTAACACATGTGTTTGTATAGCTAACCCTGACAGCCAGTGTGAGTTGCCGGAGGGTGAAGCTGGGATCGTCTGGGATGCGATCTGTTTCACTGTGCTGTTGGCTCAGAGGAGAGTCTTCCTCAGCTACTACTTCCTCTATGTCGTGTCTGACCTTCAGACTGCGAAGATCCTTGCTTCAAGGTGAGAAAGGCGCGTACAACATGAGCGTATTGACAACATCTAACAAGTAAACATTATTAACGTGTGTATTAACAACAATAGAAATGTAAAAACATGTATACATGAAAATGATGACAATATTTTTTGGTAACACTTTACTTGAAGTTGTGTGCATAAGACTGACATGACACCTTCATAATCATGACGCATGTCATGAATATGAAGGAGGGTTTATGCATGTTAATGACAACTGTCATTAAGTGTCATTCACTCAATTATGACATTTTTAATGCAAATATGACATTGTTTGAGATGTCTTTGTCATGACAACCTGACATAAACCAATACATCATAAACTGTCATGACAACTTGGCATTACTAAAACAACACAACCTGTCATAAATATGTCAAACATGACATAGCAGATTAATGATCAAACTTAAGAAAGCACTTAGCTTTATGGGTTAACATTACATTAAACTGTCAGGCGGCTGGTGTTGACATTGGCTGTCATGAGGCATTATAACTGTGTCATGAATATTTTTCTTGACCTCAACTACAGTGGTACACATTGAATTTGTCATTAAAATGTTATAAGGGCTTCATGACAGCCAATGTCAACACCAACCACATGACAGTTTAATGTAATGTTAACCCATAAAGCTAAGTGGTTTCTTAAGTTTGATAATTAATCTGCTATGTCATGTTTATGACATATTTACGACAGGTTATGATGTATTGTTTATGTCAAGTTGTCATGACAAAGACATCTCAAACAATGTCATATTTGCATTAAAAATGTCATAATTGAGTGAATGACACTTAATGACAGTTGTCATAAACATGCATAAAACCTCCTTCATATTCATGACATGTCATGATTATGAAGGTGTCATGTCAGTCTTAGGCACACCCCTTCAAGTAAAGTGTTACCTAATTTATTTATAGCAAAAAATGTCAAAAAGCAGTAACAAAGTAGTCTTACATAATAATAACGTAACATCTGGGTTTATTCTAATATTTCTTTATGTTAAGAGGTGCAGAGTTGTTTGAAGCCAAAGTGAAGAAACAGGTGGCAGCAAGATTGGAGATGGAGATCAAATCTGTGGAGACACTGAAGAAACAGTATGAAGACATTATATTATTATTTTTTTGTTAGCGATTAATGAAATACTTTAATATTGTAAATAATTGTAAAGCCAGTTTCATTCTTGTCCCACAGAATGGAGAAAATCAAGTCAAAACAGAAGAATGCTCCTCATGAGGAAGTGACATCATCTGCTGTTCATCCTGAATCCTCACTTTTCCCGAAGCGAAACGGTAGCCCACTTTGAGCAGATCTTTTAATATTATATAGTTGTGATGAAATCCACATGTTGGTATGAACTATAAATCGTCTTCTCACTGGTGCTTACTTCATCTGTCAGACCATATCACAACATCACCAAACTTCTGTGTGTGTGTGTGTGTGTGTGTGTGTATGTGTGCTTATGTTCAGATGGGGACTGTGGCTATGATCTGTTTGAAACTGACAGTGAGGAAGAGGAAGAGGAGGTGAAGGACAGGACACAAGACAACATTTTACCTAAGAAGAAAACTGCTTTTCAGGTACAGAGAGAACAAAAATGTATGCATTCACTGAATACTATTCATAAATGGCGAACACAAATTATAGATATTTATGAATTTCATATATTTTGCAGTGAATGAATTTAAAAACATTGTAGGGATTCTCGTTACCTATATTTTGCACTAGAACTACCAAGGCAGTCATTTTGACTGTTTTAAAATTTTACAGTGAAATAACTTTGTTGAAATAAAAGTGAATGATGCTTGGAGTTTGCGCCGTTCAAATGAGCCCACATCTTTTATTATTACCTATCGTAACATTGTAGATCCATGTATTTTAAGATTTTGTATTGATTATTGAACTTATTTACAAACAGGGCTGTACTGAACGGTATGAAGCTTTGAAGTTTCCTAACTTTTTTGCATGTCTATTCACGTGGTGAGTGCAGTGAAAAAAATATTTTTGACGCAAAACTTTCCTCACATAGAGGCAGCGCCTGTCGGGGAAATCTTTATTTTGTGCTTGTTTTAAGGGCGATGGCGTTATAATATGACGACAGGAATTAAAAGCGTCATTGGAAAACTTAAAGAGAAAGGTTCAAATGTAGATATGACATGACGAAAATGACGTTCAGTAGTCAATACCTACGGCCATATGAACGTCAAAGTATGAACGGCCAGAATGACCGTTATGGCCATTATAGTAGTTATGGAATTCCGAAGTAGTTCTAGTGTTAAAGAAACACGCCGACTTTTTGGGACTTTAGCTTATTCACCGTATCCCCCAGAGTTAGATAAGTCCATACACACCCTTCCCATCTCTGTGTGTGCCGCAACTATCTGACGCACCCACCGCTAGCCTAGCTTAGCACAAAGACGGGAAGTAAATGGCTCCAGCTAGCATACTAATCCCAATAAGTGACAAAATAACACCAACATTTTCCTATTTATATGTTGTGATTTGTATAGTCACAGTGTGTACAAATAACAAGGTCACATGAGACACAGCCATCTTTTAACCGTATACATACTGGGACCTATATTCTCATAAGGCGAAGCACTGCTAGTGATCAGCACAACACTCGAACTCTCTGCTCCTCACAACGGGGCTTCTCAGGCGCTGCGAGCAACAACAGTTTCTTTTTCTCCAACAGTTGGCATATACGGCGTGGACGTCAGGACCCAAGGCGGCCCTTAGAGACCATGAACATCAAGAGGAAGAAGAGCAAAGAAAAGCCAAAAGACAGTTGCAGAGACAAGAGGGTACAGTTTCTGAACTATGCTTGCACCAAATACCCAGCTTGTGCTTGACTTGTGGAATTATTAGTGAATTTCTATAAGGTTTACTCTGTGTCTTCAATTTTCTGTGTAACCAAATGCTTGTTTGATCTCATTCAGGAATGATTTAGGACAGCACTTCCACTAAATATCTCTTGATCTCTCTGATTCTTTTTTAAATAAAAGAAAGTCTATCTTTTCTGATTGTATATTAAAACATAAAGGAAAAATGTATAGTACAGAATCTTCCAGCTGCACCATGTAGAGAATGACTGGGTAAAGGACTTCAGCTTGCGTCATCTAGAGTTTCATGACAGAGCTTTGTATTAAGAAGAGGATCTATGACTTCTGGAAGCATCTTTTTTCAGTAGAAACGAAAGACAGAGTTGTTCCTCAGGGGTATATAGTGCGATGTCTGATCCAACACTGTAACAGACGGTTGCATGGTTATTAGGGCTGCGGATCTTTGGGTAGACAGCGAATCGATTCAATTCACGAGTCATAGGTTTTCAATTCGAGAATGATTTTTGCAAATCTAGAACGATTCGATTTGAGACGATTCACATTAAAATTCGGTGCAATTTGATTAATGATTCGATTTTGCATTTTGTATGCGTTCATAGGATTATTGCAAGTTTTTGAAAGCGGTACCGTTATTGTCTCAGTGTAAACTACAAAAACGGGAATTTTTGAAAATGGTGATGATGTGCATGCGTATTACATGTTCAGTCTATAGGAAAATTGAATTGAAAATGGATTGAAAAACAGGATTGGCTAAGATTGAAAAACAGGATTGTTTAACCCTATATAGAATGATATATAAATGATTTGTACATTTGATAAATGCCATTGTCAGTTGATAAAGTTTAGGTGAATCCCAGCCCATAAAGGACTTCTTTGCCACTATAGCAATATTAAAGATATTTAGTTAATTTCTGGCCTTCTAATTTAAGTCTTAAATAAAAGTAGTCCAGTAGATGGAGGAATCCAGCTTCCCCAATTTCCAGCCCTGTACAGTTGCTGCATTATATACAGGTGAAACTCGAAAAATTAGAATATGGTGCAAAAGTTCATTTATTTCAGTAATTCAACTTAAAAGGTGAAACTAATATATTATATAGACTCATTACATGCAAAGTGAGATATTTCAAGTCTTTATTTGTTATAATTGTGATGATTATGGCTTACAGCTTATGAACCCCAAATTCAAAATTAGAATATTGTGAAAAGGTTTTCATAAGCAGTAAGCCATAATCATCACAATTATAACAAATAAAGGCTTGAAATATCTCACTTTGAATGTAATGAAACTATATAATATATTAGTTAATTACTGAAATAAATGAACTTTTGCACCATATTCTAATTTTTCGAGTTTCACCTGTATATATTTGTTATACTATTCAATAGCATATTTAATATTTAACAAAGAGGTAGGTTGCTAAGAAGGGTTTTATTCAACATTTTCCTGGGAAATGTCCATGAAATCATGTAAATGTATACTAAGAAGTGTTTATGATTATTATATCATAGCCATGGAGAAAGAGGAGTCTGATGAGGAGCAGCAAGAGGAGCTCAGTCAAAATGAAGAGGAAGAAAGAGGTAAAGCTGCTGACAAATGTAATATCCTTCCATATTAATTACAGACTATAAAGGGGAACTTGTCTTTTCTTTTACTAAACAGTAACCACAGCTCCTAAGTTAACACACCTGAGGTACAGCACCTCAACTCCCATTTGCACATGCTCCCCCAGATTACTGTCCAATATGGGTTGACTTCTAAATCACTCTTATTACAAAACTGACTGTGAGACTGTGTAACATATTCACAGCGGCAGGACATAGTGAGTACGGTATTGCAGTAAATGTCATTGCATCTCTTGCCTCATTATCTCACTGCTCAACACTGCATGGTGGCTGAGGAAGAAATAAGATAAAGATACAAACGTCAACCACAGTGTGACGACACAATGTGGAGGATGTAGAAAAGTGTCCTTTTGGCAGCTTGAAGAGATGTGATGTTCTGAGAACATTGAGATTTGAACTACTTGAATTTCTAGAAGTACTCTTGTAGTATAACGTCACTTTTTAACACAAAAGTCTGCATCATTCTTCAACTTCAAATGGGTATATACTCAACCAAGAAATTATATTGAGTTAAAGGTTCTTAATAACTTAACATGAACAATTATTTAATTTGATTAATTCAATCCAATTTTTTTTTTATCAAAAAAATTAAGTCCTACTCCAATTTCTTGCATTGTAGACCTGGAACCAGTTAATCTGATCTATTTCAGGTCAAATCCACAGCTATCATAACACATGCTAAATGAAACTTGCTTATAGAGTACATATATGTAGTGTTTACCTTCATGTATCTACTCTTCAGCACAGTGGTAACCACTACAACTTCAATCTACCTAAATCCCAAAGGTATCAAGACAATTTTATTAAGTTACACGTTTAAAAAAAAAAGTGCTTAACATAGAAATTTGAGTTTAAATTACACATAATATCAAGTTAATGTAATGATCAACATCATTATGTCAACATAAATCAACAAAATAATGTTTGCAACTTTAATGGCTAAACAAAATCAATAAATTTGAACTTTTTGACTTGCCACCATGCATTCATTCAAGTTGGTAACACAACTTAATTGAATTAGCAGGTTGGAGGAAAATAAAGATGTTTAATTATTCAGATTATACAAATTAGCACACATCTTGATCATGTATATGCATTTAACCATTGATATTTTAATTGTTTTCTTTAACCATTTCCTCGTTTTTCTCTCCTTTCCTTGTAGAGCACATATTTAAGCGAATTCTTGACACGGTGAAGTTTCTCTGGGTTTTCCTTCTCTATCTCACTGAGGATGCAATATCAGGTCTGAAGTCGCTGTGTAAAGACAGCTTGAACATCTCTAAGGTGCTTCGGCTTGAGAAAACTCTACTGAGCATTCAACAGAACAAGGTGAAGGCAATATTCTGCCAGATATAGTTTACTCCATTGCCAGTCGCCTCTGAAATGGAAGATTGTTTAGATCAGTGTTTCTCAACCTCTCCTGCAGGGACCCCCTGACAGGCCATGTTTTTGTTTTAACTCTGAAATGGCACACCTGATTCAAGTAATTAAAGGCTTAATGAGTAATTAGAGTAGGAATAGTTCAATTAATCAATTAGTCAACTACTCATTAAGCCTTTAATGACTTGAATCAGGTGTGCCATTTCAGGGTTAAAACAGAAACATGGCCTGTCAGGGGGTCCCTGCAGGAGAGGTTGAGAAACACTGGTTTAGATGATGATTATAGCACAGGGTTATGGCCTTTATTTCCCAACATGTGGAGTATTGCTGAACATGGGATGCTAGTAAAAAAGGGGGTGTGATGAAAATGAAACCCATGTCCCAACAGGACACCTCATCACCAGTTTGTCAGAAGCATGTTTGCTTGACAGACTTGGCTTCATGTCATGACTTCAGCCCTATAAAGTAATGCTTCAGGTATAAGAAGGAAAGGTAACTGTTGTTCTATGAGAAAGGCTTTAACCCCGCCACTCCCCACACCGGTGCGTAACCTCATACTACGAGAAAGGCTTTGAGGCCTCTTCTGCACAACAGTGCATTATTTGTTACAACTAAGTTTAATGTTTAAGCAATAGTATTGTCCATTAGGATACTTTAATATCTCTATTATGTTCACCACCGTTCAGTTCAGTGTATAAGCTGTCAGATGAGACCAAACATGCCATAGATACATATTAGAACACACTAGTAAATAAACAGTATGTAGTTGAAAGCATATGTCCTGTGTAGCAAATGGTACAGACGTGTTGTTGAGGTGCAAACGACACTGTTTCTCCAGAAAGAACCATCCTGTGCCTGTAGTGTCCCAACAGTCCTCAACCAGCATATTGATGAAACCCTTGCACTATATAAGCATTAGCATACTGTGTTGATGAAGGCCATTGTGCCACGTTTAATTCACATGTATACCTTTAAAAGGATTTCGGAAGGGCTAGGGCAGTAAAGAGTTCTGCCCATATTTGCTCAGCCCTACAAATACTGGCGGTGCGAATGCAACCAAGAAAACGGCCCATTGGGGAACATTTGGTTATCTGGGAACCACCCTGGTGGATAGTTACTGTAACTGAGTTCCTCTAACTGAGTTCCTATAACTACCTGGTGAGAAAACGCCCCTAGTATCCTATGTCCAAATCGCAACACAGAGTTAAAAATGTTTTACACCCATTTGAATTCTACACTGAATGTTGAATTTGAAAGTGCTATAGTGAAGAGCAAACGTTGCAAAAAGGTTAAACAGCACTGATGAGCAGAAGAAATAATGCCAGTGCCAAGAATAAATTGCATGCTTTTCCACTTAACATTACTAAATATTATGACTGTTTTCTGTAGTAAAGGTTTCATATAAAATCTAAATGGAGAATCTATTAGACTTCATTTTATTACAACTGTGACAAGCTGTAAAGTCTGGCTTTGTAAGGCTGTGATGTCAAGGAAATATTATTGGCTGTTTTTCTTCTTCATGGTATATCATTTATTTTGAAAAAACAACTGAATTTAAAAGGACACTTCTCGCTGTTTAGGGCAGAGATGTCACTCATGACAGTATTCATCAGTTCTACAAAAACTGGCTCTCCAGACAAGACACAGAGGCATCATTGGACAAGGCCAAAGAGGATATACAGGACATTATCTCCACACCTCCAGGCATGAGCAGTCACCCGTGTGGCTACGTCAAACTCAACAGTGTCCACTCATGGGGCAGCAGCCTATCCAGGTATGCTAAGAACATTATATATGTATACATATGAGTATGCAAACTCCAATGGCGTGACAGAGAAAGTTTTTGTGTAGTGCTTACAGAATCTAGTGACCTCAGGATGAATATACTGAAGTGGAAAACAATCTTGTGGTGTAATTAACTGGTAAAACAAAAACAACTACATAAAAAAATAAATAAAACAAATGTGTATTATTCTGGCTTAACTGACTAAAACAACATCAACATATAAAGTAAGCCAACCATGTCAATGCAAGCCAAGCTTTATGACCATTGGACTTTGCCTTAAGACAACAAATGGAAGCTAAAGCTGCTTAAAACTGCAATGAACCAAAGACCCGGTTTGAAATCACTGGTGAGAGAGAGAGAGAGAGTAGGTAAAGTAGGTAGTAGTATAGGTAAAACCAGTCTGTTACCACTGAAAACCTGCATTCCACAGTCTCAATTACGAAGGAAAAAATAAATAAATAACCACAATATAACTTAAAAAGTCGACAATAGATCATACTTTTAATCATAAAATAATAGATAAATGTACATAACACTCCATATATGGCCCAAGTATTCACCAACATTGGTAAGCCACCAGTTTGTAATATGCATGTTCTATCCTGAGCTTTGATGCTGCCAAACCCTTGAACATCAACAAAGGATCTAATGGATCTTTACCAAGCATATTATTTTCCCTGGTTTTCCAAATTGTGAGTTTGGCAGTTCCAAACACAAAATTTAATAAAACCAAAACATTTTTACGACTAACATAATATTTTGGTCCAAAAATGAACAGTTGATGAGATAAATCTTCACCAAAAGATGACAGCCATTGAGATAAAAAAAAAAAAAGAAAAAAATCACCCAAATGTACACATTGCACAAAAAGATGAAAAACTTTTCATTTTCAGAACAAAATGGACCATCTACCCCTACATTTGGATATGCAATCCTCCATTGTAAGTCACCAGTGTGTTTATCAATGGGGCGTTTGTACAGTGAGCGCCAGCTACCTTTGGGGGAGATGTCCACTTCCTCTTCATGCCATTCCCGTACGTCAGCAGATACTGTATCATCAAGGATGGAAACAAAAATACTCAACCATCCATTCTTTAATATGGAGTTGTTGATAAAAAGTCATTGATAAAAATTCAGCTCTCCAAGCACTTCATCAGAAAGCAGTTTCAAAAATCAAAATTTAATCCAAGGATATCCATGCTGATGCTTAAAATGTGGTCAAGCTTTACACATCCAGCTGCTATCAGCCGTGATGACAAATTGGTAGAGCATAAGTGTCTAGAAGGTAAAATGTCACTGTAATGTTACATTGTGAAAATGAAATGGTTTGCGAACACTGTATCATGTTGAATTTACCTCTGTATGTTTTTCAGCTGCCAGACTGATGACACTCCTCTAGTCACACGCCAGCCAACTCAAGAAGACTTGGAAGCCCTGGATCTTAATCAACTGGATGCTGTCCAGCACTGCGACAATGGAGATGTCCTGTCCCAGTAAACATCAGTTTCTTCTTTTTTCAACAAAATAACCACTTTCTGTGCCTTGTACAATAACTCTCTGTTAGCACGCACTATACAAGAGTGTGTAATTTCTGTTGTTGATTCATTTATTCCTCATAAGAAATCCTGATTACAACGAAGAGCTGAAGGATCATGATGAAAGATTTGAAAAGATAACAGATGGATGGACAAATGAAGAAAATATACCTAACATTGTGCTGCCAGAAGTCCCCGAGCTGAATCATCTGCATGAGGGAAAAGATGAAGAGATCCAAGAGTCCAGAATGCTCAATCAAGAGACCAGAGCACTTACTGCCAGCGAATTACTGCTGAACAAGTGAGACACACACACACACACACACACACACAAGATTGAAGACATTACTGCAAATATCATCAAGTGTCCACAGGTTGTTCTTGGCACTGGTCCTGTAAGATACTTTCAGACGAATCAGCTCAGATCCACTTATATTTTACAACATTTGACCTTTTTGTACATTATATCTTGTGATGTTTAAATAAAAACGAAGGCACCAAGTCAATGTTGTTGACTATACTAGTTTGTATGTAGTTAAAAATATTTACTTGACTGCTGTTTGACTGCCAGGCAGATACTTTTGATAGCTTGGCTATGTGTGTTCTCCTTAAAATGAATAGTTAATATGTTTCCTTTTTGAAGAAAAATCATTCAATTCCATCCTTCTGGTAGTAAAATAGTCCCTGACATCTCAAATGTGTAGTGCTGTGGTTACTCAGGACCAGGTTTGGAAACACTGCATCAGTTAAAAAACAGACCAGACACATTTTAAATATGGTGGTTTTCTGAAGGCCGTTTTCTAATTTCTCTGTCTTCACTTCCTTTATACAGAATATTTGATATTCCAGAGATTGAGGAGTCTGAGAGATTCTACTCTTCATTACCGTGTGGTGTGCGTCTCATCTTTGCTCTCTACAATTTGATGGAGTCTCAGTCAGAGATGTTCTGTTACTTTGTGATTATCTTCAATCATATGATGTCTGCCTCTCTGCTCACACTCTTCCTACCCATCCTCATCTTCCTGTGGGCCATGCTGTCAGTGCCACGACCAACCAAGCGCTTCTGGATGACAGCTATCATCTACACTCAGGTCAGCATCTCTCCAACCGCTGCAGCTGATGTAACAAATCATTGACTAAGCCATAATCATTAGGCCACAACAGCCTAGTAGATTTATAATGATTCGTGGAACACCTTATTGCTCTTTCTGTAAACACCACACAAGGGGAATCAACTCAAAACAAGGGTGCAAAGAATGGAAAGGAACACCAGTAACTTTGAGCTTTGACCATAAGTTCACATTAACTTGCAGTTTTTTTTTGTTCTTTATTGAACAACATAGTCCACTTTAGACATTCAGTGATTCAGCGTTTTGCCACATACACTGCCCGGACCTGTGGGCTTCAACTGTTTCAATATATTTGGAGTATTTTCAAGGTTGTTTGTGTCGCTAGTGTCACAGAAACAGCATACTTCACGGTTTCAAAGACAAGCCTTAAGCCTAGTCCCAGACTAAAATTAATATTTGAACTGTCTTAACTGAAAGCAGTGCCATTGTTTTATCTCAAGATGCACACCAGTAATGTTTTCAAAGTAATGTTTACTTAAATGTCCTAATTGAACTAAGGCCTAATCCTGGCTAAACCCTGCCTGTGAAACCAGGCCATAGTGCCCAGTTAATGTAGAATATTCTATCACCGTTTCCGTCAAGTTTAACATGAGGGTGTAGATATATGCAACAATAAAAAACAGTTACGAAACTCATAAGGAAGATAAAAAGGACATACCTGAGTTACAAATTTTATGCCAAACTATTGCTGTGCTGCACAAAATTTCCTATAAACACACACCTCCATGTTCTTTCCCTGTTGTGTGATTCTCTCTGTTCATTCAGAACCACAGTTTCACACAGTCACTTTTGGCTGTTTTATTCATTTTTTTAATGTCTGCTAGATGTGATGTCTTTTATCCCAAATGAGAAATATAGTGCAGTGCTTCTCACACTTGGCACCAATACTTGACACCAATACCTTTTTTGGTAACACTTTATAATAACTGCATGCTATTAATCATTTGTTAAGCATGAGTAAACAGTTAATTCATCATTTATAAAGCATTAATAGACATTAATAAGCAGTTTATAAATACAGCTATAAACGCTTTTTTTCTTGATTTATAAGCATATCTATAATGCGTTTAATAATTGTATTTTCATACTTTGTTAATGGTCAATTAATAATTTCTAAATGAAGTATAGCATTATTTACAAACAAGAGTTGTCAGTCATTCATAAGATCACTTAGACAGCGTAAGTAAATGTAGTAAATACAGGTAGTTATAAAGCATTTAGTAGTGGTCAGTTAACTATTTTGTGAGCTAATCTAAAGTGAGGACTACTCATGCCTTATTAAGCATTTATAAAGGAGATTTGAAGGCGCATCAATCTTCTAAACAGTAAAATGTAACAAACACAACACAGTGATACAGAACATAGAAATATTTAACAGCCTTTAAATCTCCTTTATAAATGCTTTACAAGGCATGAATAGTCCTCACTTTAGATGAGCTCACAAACATAGTTAACTGACCACTACTAAATGCTTTATAACTACCCGAACTAACCCTGAATTACAGCATAAATACATGTTAATAAAGCATTTATTAACACACTAAGTAACCATCACTATGTCTGAATAATAAGATGTATGAATGTACATTTAAATAGTTTATTAATCATTTACTTACACGTTCTAAGTAATCTTATGAACCACTGACAACTTTTAAATAACTGGTTTATAAAAAATGCAATTATTCATTTAGAAATAATAAATTGATCATTAATAAAGGATGAAAATACAATTATTAAATAAATTATGGATATGCTTGTAAATCAAGAAGAAAGCATTTATAGCTGTATTTATAAACTGCTTATTAATGTCTATTAATGCTTTATGAATGATGAATTAACTGTTTACTCATGCTTAACTGATGATTATTAGCGTGTAGTTATTATAAAGTGTTACCCATTTGTTTTGCGTCACCTAAGATAAGTGTGATAGTGTTAGATGACTCTTTCTTTCTTTAATTGTGGGGCACCAGCTAAGAGGTTCACCTTGACAGTAAAGAACAATCAAAGATGCTTGAACAAATAAAGTTGATGTAAATTGAAGGGGGTTTATCATCTGACCACTAAGAAGGATTCATGAGATATTAGTAACATGTAAAGTAGGGGTGCTCAATCCTGTTCCTGGAGATCTACCTTCCTGTAAAGTTCAGCTCTGACCCTGATCAAACACACCTGAAGCAGCTAGCTGAGATCTTCAGGAGCACTTGATAATGACACACAGGTGTGGTGTGCAGGGCTGGAACTGAAGCCTGCAGGAAGGTCCATATTCAGGAACAGGATAAAGGGGTCGGAAAAGTTGCTAAGTTGGCAACACTGCCTAGAAGCCGGCACACGATGAGGATCTGAAGTAGGAGCAGAAGGTCCTTAATGTGAAACACGCAGACCTTGAAGCACCTTGTACCAGTACCTTAAAGTGGAGATTTGCTCTCCTGAGCTCAACCTTGTTGCAAATGTGTCTGTATGTCTTCTGCCTTTCTGGGCCAGAGACTCAGAACTTGGACGATCTGCTTTTGTCGCTTTGGCATGCAGACACTAGACGTGCTGCATCTGTTATTGTCTTGCTTGCTGGACAAAGACTCTGAACAGTTGTTGTTAATCTTGCATGGAATCTGAACTCAAAACTTGGTTGTATCTGTTAATGTCTCTTCCCTCATGGGCCGGAGACTCAGAACTTTGTATTACTGGTATTATGGTAGACTTGTTATAGTTTCATGTACAATCTAACATAAATCTAATAGACTATTTTTATTGCAGCTGTCATAAATGGTACTGATATGTATCTAGTTATTATTCCCCATCCTCCAAGGAAGCAATCTAATGTTTTTTTTAATAAATCAGCCTGTATGAGTTTATGGACCTGCTGTTTTGACAACAAATTGGAGATCCAGGATTGTGGTTTGATTCAGAGCACTCAGTAATCCATGAATGAATAATGGTGCCCAGAGGTTGTAGGATCATTTTCCACGTACATTTCTAGCGAAGTGTTGTAGTCTTTAAATATCCGCTTTGTTATGACTAAGGGTTAGGGTTAGGGTGCTTTGAAAGTCTGTTACTTGTAGTGAGGCAACAAGGAATTTAAAACCATAACAGATAAACACAAAAGAAAAACAAAAGCTTTATAGGTAACACCAGCAGAAACACTGGAGCAGAGAACATAGACCTGAAACGTTCAAAGCTCCCATATTTGTTCCCCTTTCTTCATCTCTCTCCACTCAGCTCACAGTTGTGGTGAAGTACTTTTTCCAGTTTGGCTTCTTCCCATGGACAACATCAGCATATCGTGGCATTAATGCGGAGCGTCCATTCGCAGTCCCCAACATAGTTGGAGTTGAGAAGAAAGATGGCTACGTCCTGCTAGACCTCATCCAGCTAATTGCTCTGTTCTTCCATCGCTCCATCCTTAAGGTACTTCACCTTCCCATAAATCTTTAAAAGACATTCCAGTTCATGATCTGTATGTTTTATTGCAAGGATACATTAAATTTGGTAAAATATTCCATTTTTAATTAGAAATGTTTTATCAATATTTTTCCTTATTTAATTAATTGTAACTGTTTATATCCAACATTTTTCCTTAACCTAAAACCATTGGAAAAATGTGCGACCCTACCTACATTTCTGCAAGACTTCCAAGCCGTACCTATATATTCAAGTCAATGAATGTAGTTTCCAGCTGAAATTAATACTAGGGGCTGTAAAACACAGACTACTTGAATTCATTTTATGATTACAGAGGCAGATTATCAATTTATAAATATTATAAATAAATTTTTTGCACAGTTCCTTGCACAATACTTTATTACGACCTCAAAAAACCTTTACCATATAGCATGAAACTAATACATTATGAGGTTTGCATCATGTAATCAGCTCCATAAGTGTGAGTTCTGGAATAGGAAACTTGTTTTCTAGTTCACCTGGTACAGCATTATACTTACAACCTGGAGCAGTATAAGTATGTTTTTACCTCACTTTTGCTTTTGTTAACACTATTGCTTAATTGTAGGGTTGGATTTAGTGTAAGTGCTAAGATATTTTCAAATGCGAAACGTGCAAGAATCAACATAAATCATTTTGTAGGAATGTCGCCAGAAGCAGATTTTTCCACTGAGCTTGGGTTGTTCTCCTTGATTCTTACACCATATTGGATGGAATTGTACTTTGAACTTGGTACAATGTATTCTGGGATTTAATTTTCTTTGAAGTATGCAGGCGATGCTGCCTTATAATTTGTCCAAACAAAAGCATTGTTTATCTGTTAATTAGTTCAGTTCTGTCTTTCCCGCTTTCCCGATCTTGTTCCTGAGTATCCGTTTGTTAAAGATTTGAGTTTGTTTTTGTTTAATAAAAGATTGCAACCACCAACCATAACAGTAGAACTGACCAAAAATGGATCTGGCCATGGAGGCCGTTCCCGAGACGCCCCCTGAACTGCCTGCACCTCCCTTGCCTCCAGAACCAGCGCCGCCCTGGAGACTCCCTGTCCCGCTACGCCTCGCCCACGTCAGCATCTAGGGTGCCCACCCTCCCACCCCTGTGAATTAGATCCAGTTTAGTCTCTGCTGCAACCACCAATCGTAACACAGTCTTTGCATAAGGAGTGTGCCTGCCTATGATGCCTAGTATGGTGGTTCATTAGGTTTTATAACAGAGCCAGTGAGATTTTTGTGACTTTGTTTGTGTGCCTTCAGTGTCATGGTTTATGGGATAACAAGGAGGTGGAGATGCCAGACTTCTTTAAGAAGCTAAAGAGGAAAACAGAGAAAAACAAGATGACTGGAGGATCGAGACGACGAGAAGAAAGCACAAATAGACGAATTCCCTTCATTCCTCTTCAGGCTTCATTCACTTCTTTCCTTCGAAGACAGAGAGCAGAGAGTCCTGAGAGACAGGGTAAGATCTTCATATGGAAATCTATGAGGAATATACTGAATATATATACACTCACCTAAAGGATTATTAGGAACACCATACTAATACTGTGTTTGACCCCCTTTCGCCTTCAGAACTGCCTTAATTCTACGTGGCATTGATTTAACAAGGTGCTGAAAGCATTCTTTAGAAATGTTGGCCCATATTGATAGGATAGCATCTTGCAGTTGATGGAGATTTGTGGGATGCACATCCAGGGCACGAAGCTCCCGTTCCACCACATCCCAAAGATGCTCTATTGGGTTGAGATCTGGTGACTGTGGGGGCCATTTTAGTACAGTGAACTCATTGTCATGTTCAAGAAACCAATTTGAAATGATTCGAGCTTTGTGACATGGTGCATTATCCTGCTGGAAGTAGCCGTCAGAGGATGGGTACATGGTGGCCATAAAGGGATGGACATGGTCAGAAACAATGCTCAGGTAGGGCGTGGCATTTAAACGATGCCCAATTGGCACTAAGGGGCCTAAAGTGTGCCAAGAAAACATCCCCCACGCCATTACACCACCACCACCAGCCTGCACAGTGGTAACAAGGCATGATGGATCCATGTTCTCATTCTGTTTACGCCAAATTCTAACTCTACCATCTGAATGTCTCAACAGAAATCGAGACCAGGCAACATTTTTCCAGTCTTCAACTGTCCAATTTTGGTGAGCTCTTGCAAATTGTAGCCCCTTTTTCCTATTTGTAGTGGAGATGAGTGGTACCCGGTGGGGTCTTCTGCTGTTGTAACCCATCCGCCTCAAGGTTGTGCGTGTTGTGGCTTCACAAATGCTTTGCTGCATACCTCGGTTGTAACGAGTGGTTATTTCAGTCAAAGTTGCTCTTCTATCAGCTTGAATCAGTCGGCCCATTCTCCTCTGACCTCTAGCATCAACAAGGCATTTTCGCCCACAGGACTGCCGCATACTGGATGTTTTTCCCTTTTCACACCATTCTTTGTAAACCCTAGAAATGGTTGTTCGTGAAAATCCCAGTAACTGAGCAGATTGTGAAATACTCAGACCGGCCCGTCTGGCACCAACAACCATGCCACGCTCCAAATTGCTTAAATCACCTTTCTTTCCCATTCTGACATTCGGTTTGGAGTTCAGGAGATTGTCTTGACCAGGACCACACCCCTAAATGCATTGAAGCAACTGCCATGTGATTGGTTGATTAGATAATTGCATTAATGAGAAATTGAACAGGTGTTCCTAATAATACTTTAGGTGAGTGTATATATACTGTATATACACACATACACAGTAGTGGAGCAAAACTTAACATCAAAGTTATACATGGATTTTTAATAATACCTGTTCTTGTCTTAGGACAACTTTGATTAACTTTTTTGATCAACTTCAAATGTTCACTACTTTGTATGTGTGTGTGTATATATATATATATATATATATACCAGTGGCGAAAGGGGGTCAAACACAGTATTAGTATGGTGTTCCTAATAATCCTTTAGGTGAGTGTATATATACCAGTGGCGAGTGGTGACTTTCTTTAACCGGGTTTGCTGGGTGACACGATATGTCAAAAACGCACTGATGAACGTTAGATGGGTTTATAATAAGCGTGTTCACCCCAGACAGTGTTAGCTGCTCAGTTGTTTACTCTCATAACACATGGCAACACAGCTAAAAGATCCCTATATTTGAGCATTTATTGAAAGTAGCCTACACTTACCTGTTGATGCTTTCACAAACACCCGTAAAAGCTGTTGAGTGTAGTCATGCGCAATGCGCAAAAGGGGGGTTTGTTTGCAACATGTGCCGTATTTTTGTTATTCCGCTAGGTGGCACTCATGTTGCAGAAACGACATGCTTCAACTTAAAACGGTACGGTGTGCATCTAAATAAGAGACAAAGTAAGAAACACCATGGCAGGTGTCAATTTAAATGTATGCCAGAAGTGTTTTTTTTTAAAATAAAAAAGTATAATATAATAAATATTAGAAGCCTACTATAAATAAAATATAAGTAAAATATCATTAGAATAAATGTATGTAGCCTATAATAAAAATATAATTGTTCTTATAAAAAAAAGTTGAAATTGATGACTTTAACAAACGCATAGACTACGATTAACAGCCTCGGATAGTTACAGGTCTGCTTACAATAGCTTACGATACATAATAACAGAGCGTACGCGGCAAAGCTTCTGTGGATCTGCATACCCGGAACGATCAGTAAGTGGCAGATTTGACGGAAATTACCATCGTTTGCCACATAAATAAATGCCTGAGAGTTACATACGTATTACTAACATTTTATTGTGTAAGCTTTATGATACACCTCAAACAAGGGTAATTTATAGTGTTAATGCTAATCAGTGAGTCCATGAATGTTTTGGGTATGCAGAGCATTAGCAGCTGATATGGACAGTATGCCACTGATATACACACACACACACACACACAGATAACGCATATACAGTACATTCAAAAATACATGTATACAATGACAAATTTTGCACAGGCCAGTTTGTTCTCTATTTGTTTTTTTCATGTCTACTGTTGTATGATATCATACATAAGTATTTATATATCTGTGTTAATATCCTTTTTTAAATATTATATCATCAGATGAGAGCCATAGCAGGGAAAGGCGTTCACAGAAGAAGCGGCAGAGGAATGTGCCGCTAAGCAGAAAGGAGCGAATGAAAAAGTATATGAATGACCGAATGCTGGAGGCCAAAGCTGCTGTCATAGAGCTGTAAGAGATGAGTAGCAGGACAAATGTTCAATTTAACATTTGTATATACTTTGAAAATGCATTGTTCGAGAAAGCTTTACATATTCAAAAACATTCATTTAAAAATATTCTACTGTTTGCTTCAATTAAAATAATCTGTATATAATTATGGAATATCATACATAAACAAAGTCACTCGGTGATGCAGACCATGCTGATGATGAACACAGCGGCACTGAGTTTGTGATTGAAGAGAACTCATTGTTTGTGTCAAGGTGAGACATGACTAAGATCCTCAGTCCTTAGAGTGCCCCCGTGCCACACAGAACCCCTACCAAACCTGGAGTAGGGAAGAGAAAATGTTCAAATTCGTTGCTTAACCCTCTGGGGCAGTGTTACTCATTGAGCGGCTCGCCAAGCTTTGATTAGTGGCTCACATGGCGGTAAATAATACGTGTGTTATGATGCAGCAGACACCAGGGGATCCATACGCAGTATTTATTAGAAGTCGTCAAACAGGCAGGGATCAAATAACAGCAAACAGGGCAATGGAGACAAGGCAGAGACAAACCAGATACAGGCAGAGGGTCGAGGCAGGCAGCGAGAATCAGAGTCCAGTGAAACAGTCCAGGGTCAGGGCAGGCAGAAAAGGGTCAGCAACGATAAACAATCCACAGGTCAAAATACAGGAAGCAAACACAGGAGGATAACGCTCAGAATTGCAACTAACAGTAAAACAAGACTTCGCAATAAGTGAATGTGAAAACCAGGTATTTATGGTGTGAACTAAACAAGATGATGAGAAACAGGTGAATGAGATGAGTGCTGATGAGTCCGGGCAGTGAGTTATGGGAAATGTAGTTTGTGAGTGAAACATGATTGTCTTGTGTGGAGTGCCCTCTGGTGTCTCTCAAGGGCACTCCAGCTGGTGACCCCAAAGAGCGGCTTCCAGACGCTCAAACTGTCCAGGTGGGAGGTGGAGCGGAGGCGGATCTGGGGGCGGGATGGAGGGCCAGGTCCGTGGAGCAGAAGAGGAACTGGAGACCAGGGTGGAGCAGGCTGTGCAGGCGACCAGGGCGGATCAGGCAGTGCAGGCGACCAGGGCAGATCAGGCAGTGCAGGCGACCAGGGCGGATCAGGCAGTGCAGGCGACCAGGGCAGATCAGGCAGTGCAGGCGACCAGGGCAGATCCGGCAGTGCAGGCGACCAGGGCGGATCAGGCAGTGCAGGCGACCAGGGCGGATCCGGCAGTGCAGGCGATCCTTCAGGCCAGGGAGGAGACGACAGTCCAACTGGCGGCCACGGCGGAAGAAACCCTTCGGGCGGCCACGGCGGAGAAGACCTCTCGGGCGGCCACGGCGGTGAAGACCTCTCAGGCGGCCACGGCGGTGAAGACCTCTCAGGCGGCCACGGCGGAGGCTCAGGAACCAACAGCGGCATAGGAAAAGCCACCGGCCCAGGAACAGCCATCGGCTCAGGAACAGACACTGGATCCGGCTCAGGAACAGACACTGGATCCGGCTCAGGAACTGGAACAGACACAGGCTCGGCGGCCATCTTGTCCGGAGACACAGGCTCGTTGACGGCCATCTTGTCCGGAGACACAGGCTCGGTGACGGCCATCTTGTCCGGAGACACAGGCTCAGTGACGGCCATCCTGTCAGGAAACTCTGGAATGGACGGGACCAGCATCTTGTGAAACTCTGGGCTGGACAGAACCAGCGGCGAAGAGGGCCTTGAGCTGGGCAGGACCAGCGGCGAGGAGGACTGAGCGCTGGGCAGGACCAGTGGTGAAGAGAGCCTTGAGCTGGGCAGGACCAGCGGCGAGGAGGACTGAGCGCTGGGCAGGACCAGTGGTGAAGAGGGCCTTGAGCTGGGCAGGACCAGCGGTGAAGAGGGCCTTGGCTCTGGTTCTGCGGGTATAACGCTCACAGACTCCTGCTTGGCGGGCATAATGCTCTCAGACTCAGGCACGGCTGGACTGGTGTGAGGTGCAGGCTCTGGAATGGCAGACATGACTTGAACAGTCTCTGGATCGGCAGGCGTGACGAGAACAGTCTCTGGATCGGCAGACGTGACGTGAAGCGTCTCTGGCTCGGCAGAAGTGACGTGAAGCGTCTCTGGCTCGGCAGGTGTCTCTGGCTCGGCAGAAGTGACGTGAAGCGTCTCTGGCTCGGCAGAAGTGACGTGAAGCTCAGTCTCTGGCTCGGCAGAAGCGACGTGAAGCTCAGTCTCTGGATCGGCAGAAGCGACGTGAAGCTCAGTCTCTGGATCGGCAGAAGCGAGGTGACGGTCTCTGGCTGGACGGTCTCTCGCTGGACGGTCTCTCGCTGGACGGTCTCTCGCTGGGCAGGTACTGTGGGGTTGTAGGGCTCCTTGTCCGCTAAACCCACAGTAAAGGTTGAACCGCACAGTAACAGGGCCAAATCAATATAAAATTCTAAAGTCCATTGAGGATTGTGCAGTGGCATGGCTGACCCGAGTGGCTCAGATAGTCCCCCTCTAAAGAAAATCATGAGGCACAACAAATCCATTGGAGTTACGTTTGAAAGTTCAATAAAGTCTCTCACGTAATCCTCAATGGGCCGGTCTCCCTGACGGAGGCGCATAATTTGTGCTACTGGATTCATTTTTGATGCTGCTGGATCTGAAGTGGCGAAGTCTTCTGTTATGATGCAGCAGACACCAGGGGATCCATACGCAGTATTTATTAGAAGAAGTCAAACAGGCAGGGATCAAATAACAGCAAACAGGGCAATGGAGACAAGGCAGAGACAAACCAGATACAGGCAGAGGGTCGAGGCAGGCAGCGAGAATCAGAGTCCAGTGAAACAGTCCAGGGTCAGGGCAGGCAGAAAAGGGTCAGCAACGATAAACAATCCACAGGTCAAAATACAGGAAGCAAACACAGGAGGATAATGCTCAGAATTGCAACTAACAGTAAAACAAGACTTCGCAATAAGTGAATGTGAAAACCAGGTATTTATGGTGTGAACTAAACACGATGATGAGAAACAGGTGAATGAGATGAGTGCTGATGAGTCCGGGCAGTGAGTTATGGGAAATATAGTTTGTGAGTGAAACATGATTGTCTGGTGTGGAGTGCCCTCTGGTGTCTCTCAAGGGCACTCCAGCTGGTGACCGTTACAACGTGATATGATCATGCAGTCACTACATTAAAACATAAAAACATGTTAAAAACATAAAAACATTAAAAACAAGTAGGGCTATAACATAACCCATTGAAAACTCAAAGTGTCAGCTCTATTACAAAACATTTCTGATCGGATTGAAAGGGATGGTTTATTCCTTTTCTAATCCAAACGAGAGAACATGTAGGCTAAACGCTTGATCGATTGAAAACCGAAACTGAAAGGATGACGTATGACGCGCTGAATGAGCTGTTCTTCCTGTTGAATAAAGTGTCGTATAAATGACTGTCCCGTCGTTCTGAAATTCTCCTTTCACTCAGTGTCTGTGAAGTGAAGCAGGGCAACGTCCCACCAGTCCTTGTTCAGACTCTCATCCACAGATGACAACAGAGGTTTTGGGCGCAGAGAGGAGCATTTTTACTGCGTGATAAAACAGTACGGCACAACGGTTCATATGTTCATAGTCTCCAAATTATGACCAGAAATTAATACATATTAAGTCTGCTGTTTAAAACAAATAAAGAACCAGTGTAGGAGAATGGTTATTAATGCAAACAGCAGGAAACTGTATATCCAACGCTATCTCACGACCAATTCGTACAAATTCATACGAGTGATTAAAAGGTGGCTAATTTGTACGACCTCACTCGTACGAATTGTCTAAACCCACGTGATGGAAAGGTTTAGGGGCGGGGTCAGGGGTAGGTCATACGCGTTCATGTAAACTACAATACACTCAGATTCATCAATCGGATTAAATTCAGTCCGATTGAAACAAAAGTTGTGCATTTAATGTCTCCGTTCCCTTCTTCAAGGAATAGGGGTTACATTAGTAACCTAAACATTTTCTGTAACGTTATTTTGAAACGACGTGCATTTTGTAAAGTGCTATACAAGTAAAAATGATTTGACTAGACAAACAGAAGTTAAGGAGACATTGGCCTGGGACATCGACCTTAGTCAGGTTCGACACCATATTGAATTTAATGCAAATGAAAACGAGGCTGTGAGGGATTGACATACAGTCTCTACAATGGCACATACTGTATTTTCACAACATTTAAAAGCGTTTTATGGATTTTGTACCTTCTGAAAGTTTTTCGGAAAGACGTTTTGTTAGCTGAACAATTAGTATGTTGTTAAACAACAGTGCAAAAAAAAAAAAGAAATATAGTGCTATGTGAGTAACTATCTACCTGACATGACCTCTATGAAACAAGAAAGACACAGAGGCTAAGTAGAGTCACTGCAACTTATGTACATCGTAACTTCGGCTTACGTCAGTGAGTATTTTTTAATGTGTTTATCCAGCTAATGAATATCTAGTGCCAAGTACTGTCTCTGGCGGTCAGGAACACTGAAACTGAATAACCTTTGCTGCTCAGTCACGGCACATATGCTCACTAATCACTTTTCTTCACAATTGCCATTTCATCTGCATTGATTGTTAGTCTGGGTCGATTTATATGTCTATTCTGTACTTCCAAAGAACAGCATTTTAGAAAGATATTTGTGTGGAATACTGCTATATTAAAACAATGCAATAATAATACTCCTGCTCATTTAAATCTTTTTTCTTTTCTTTTCAGTGCTCTACACATATACTTACCCATAAGGCAGTTCTTCTATGACATCATTCACCCCGAGTACAGCCCTGTGTGTGATGTGTATGCGGTGATGTTTCTGATAGATGTGGTGAACTTCATCATCATTATATTTGGATATTGGGCTTTTGGAGTAAGTATTAGAAGTCCTCTCACAATCCTACAATAATGTTTAGTCACTTTTCAATTTAATTTAGTTATGTTAGTGAAATATTTAAATTTTAAGGAATTGCAGAAAGTATAGTATATTGAAAAGAGTATGCCAAAAGTCCCTGGATGGTCTACTATTTACGGTATATTTTATATAAGCGAAATTGAAGAACAAAACTGAGGTGAAGTTATTTCCAACAAAACCAGGCCAAAAACTAAGTTGGTTTGGACTTTGCTTTGGGAGTTTGAAACAGCTTGCCAAAGAAAAAATTCTGGAAAAGTTGGCTCCGGCTGGTAAATACTTTCAATCTACCATTGGTTTGTAGCATTTATGTAATGGGTAGGGCTGGCGCTGTGACTCCGCCTTTGACATTGGTTAATTTCTTCTGTTCAGTCCATAGAGATCAGACGTCCACGAGTAAGAACACAAACAAACTGGAGAGCTGCTTTATGCTTTATAGTAGAAATTTGTACCGACTTGTACAACACAACCTCTATATCACCATGGTATAGAGGTTGCATGGTACAAGTCGGTACTTCAGATTAATTGTGGCGTTGGTAGTAATGACATATTCTGATTAAAAATAGTTGTCATCTCATAATTATGACATGATGTAAATGCAGCAATAGAGACGCCCTGAAAGGAGTTTGAGTTGTTAGTAATCATTAAAAATATGATCATTAAAAACATCACAAAATATTTAATATTTATCTGTGTTAGATTCCATCTTCAACAACATTGTGAACTCTCATAAAGATATGAATAGCATAATAGCAAAACAGATACATTTCATCATTAACTATGAAATGCATTATGCAAAAAAACATTAGCAGTGTTTTGTGCATGAAAGACCCATGACTGCTAGATAAACATGCTAAAGTGCCCAAGACTCTTATTTGGACACTTGAGAATACTGAATTTCATTGTTGATATGTGACCACCACCTAACTTGCTCATCTGTTTTTCTGTGTTTGTTTATTTGGCAATTAATGAATGTATTGAATGATTGATACAGAAGCACAGCGCGGCCGCCGATATAACAGAGTCACTGTCAGAAGACCAGGTTCCTGAGGCTTTCCTCGTCATGCTTCTCATCCAGTTCAGTACCATGATTGTGGACCGGGCACTCTATCTCCGTAAAACTCTCCTTGGGAAGTGTGTTTTCCAGGTAGTGCTTGTGTTTGGGATCCACTTCTGGATGTTCTTCATACTACCTGGTGTCACAGAGAGGTGAGGAATACTGAAACTGAAGAACTGTTAATCACTGACAAAGATCATCAAAGTTTGGATACGATTATTTATACTTTTTGTAACTATTTTCCACATTTGATAAATTAGTTACATAACTTGTTTTGATCATTACATGATTATACTTCCTTTAGCTTTTCCAAACCTGATGAAAAAACACTGGGAGTGTGAACAGCCACACCAACCCATCTCCTTGCTGAAATAGTCCTAAAAATCACTTCCATCTATTTGAAAAAACTTGAGGCAGTTGGATGGGCCAGGCTCTTGATCAATGAGCTTCTGAAAAAAAAACCCGGACTAATCATTGTCCTACTCAAATCTCATCCAAAGTTTTTCTCATTAAATGCAACTTTTTTCTCTCTCCCCCACTGAAGATCTGCATCGGCATGTGCTTTCTACAGTACAATGACACACATTATCACAGTCTAAAGTTACTCTATGAATTGCATCCTAATTCAGTAAATTACAATACGCAAAGCTCTTAATCCGTCAAGCTGCACATGGCAGGGATTGTTAGGATCACAAGAAAGGCAATGCAAAGACTGTCACTGCACAACGTCTTGTAATCCTCGGATGCATCTCTATCGTTGTGTTGCTGTAGTAATCCTGTGTTTGCGTCTCTCTCGGATTTATTCACCTCCTACTACATGCGTGAATCGCTAGGTGGGACTAAAGAAGCAATGATTGAAATTAATGATGTAGAAGTAGTGTAATGATAGAAACTCGGAAGCAAGATGCAAGTAAAACTCAGTATTTATTATAAAGCAATGATGAAGCAAGAAAGAGTCCAGTGGTAACAGGCTAGCGGCGCAGGGACTCCAATGGTCAGATGAATCCGGTGAGTGAGGTGACGGAGAGTGCTAAACAAACAAGACGAATCCAGATAACAACCACAGGAACACGAACAGGAACAACGAAGGCACGGGACTGGAACGCAGAGGGATCAACACAACCGGACATCACAAAACAACGATCTGACAATGGAGATGAGAAGTTGATGAGATATATACACAGGAATGGATAGACTGCAGCTGGTGATGAGGTAATGAGTGATTGCTGAACGAGCGTTGATGAGCGGCCACGCCCCTCTGATCAGCGCACACACATACAACAACAGAGACACGAGACAAGAAGAAGACATAGGATTTACCAACCGTGACAAGTAGGCTTCAAATTTTTTTCTGCAGATGCGGTCTTTCATTGCACTGACTTCATACTGAGTCAAAAATATAAAAACGAACCACTTTTTAGCAGCTTGGTTTCAATAAAAGCTTTTTTTGGACTAACAAAGAAGTTTTGAGTTCCACCCCTGATATTTAGCAACTTACAATCTTCAATTGACACACATGTAATAAAAAAAAAATTGGACTTAAGCCAAGCCAAACAAACTTTGAAACTTGTTCTACAAGCTGCAACACTAACACTCTGGTTTGAAAATAACATTAAAATAACAACAAAATACAATTAACAAAAAACTATTCTTAAATGTCTGAATACCATCCTTTTTCTTGATCAAGACAACAGACGAAACATATGGGCTACAACTCCCTGGTGCCTCATGCCTCCAACAGTTGATTTATTTGTACCATCACTATCTTTTACTCAAAGGAAGAAATCAGTCTGCGTATTTTGTTAAACCGGTGTGTCCAAAAGGGCCATATCATGATAAATTAATTTAGTACATGCCAGATCTTTCTGACTAGAACTTGTGAAGCAGGACCCTTACTACACCCCTGATAAAACCAAATTTCCATAAGGTGACAGAATGGAGAAAAAAAACTTTGGGAGAAACCAGGCTCAGTCGGGGGCCAGTTCTCCTCTGGCCAATGACCGAACAGTTGTATGATTATGATTCAGGCAGCATTATTGGTCAGATTGGATTGGAACATTCAGAATATTATCCAGTTCCATCTGGTTGAAGATCGGAGTCATCATGCCGGTATGAAGACGGGTTTGTTGAGGATCAGTGCTGATGGCTGTCGTGACGATGAGGCCTTTACAGGGGAGAGTCTAGTTGACACAACCTCTGCTGACACTTCAGGGATGCGTTGTGGTCGTGTCTAGGAACAGGTCCTCCATCTGATCTAGATGCGGCCCGAATCCAGCTGATTACAGTAAACCTCAGAATAAACAGAAAGACTAACATTAGCGTAGATGCCATTCATCTTATGATGTAACTAACAAGTACATCGGGTGTTATAGGAAGTGTTTCCGGTTATGGCTGACCTAATTGATGCGTCCTAATAATCATTTAACTGATTTAAATAATGGGAATGTATAATGTTCTATGTGTATGCCAGGAGATGATGTAGATTTGAAAATCCTGCTTCCCCCTATTATTATTGAATCACGGAAGCTACGCCAGTTACTTTTGCCAAAAGATTTATATTTATTATGTATCATGTATCATGTGTCAGACAGAGAGAAACACAGGCATATAAGAATAAAGCTATATGAGAGAGGTCTTCATTCCAGATTTCTCTGTTCCCCATTTCTCTATCTTCTCACCCCATCATGCTTGCTATAAATGCTTCCTAATGATATCTCCCAAGGGTAGCATGTACAGAGTGAACAGCAATGGTCCTAGTACTAAGCCTTGCGGTACTCCATTCTTAACTTGTGATCCTATGACATCTCTTCATTTACTATTACAAACTGATAACGGTAAGATAAGGATGATTTAAACCATGCTAATGCAATTCCACTTATGCCAACATAATTTTCGAGTCTATTCAAAAGAATGTTGCGGTCGATAGTGTCAAATGCAGCACTAACATCGAGTAACACTAATAGAGAATTACAACCACAATGGACTATGGACAGTAGCATTCCTCTTTTACATAAGGTATTTTAAAAAGTATAAAATTACTAGTATACGTTTAAATTACTTGTGGTCTGTGAGAGAAAAAGCCGTTAGAATTATTCATGTTAATTTTTCTCAAATGTTTCTTATTTCAGGAGGTTCAACCGGAATCGAGTTGCTCAACTGTGGTACTTTGTCAAGTGTATCTATTTTGGTCTCTCAGCATACCAGATCAAATGTGGCTACCCTAATCGTGTTCTTGGAAATTTTCTTACCAAGAACCACAACTACTTCAACCTCTTCCTCTTTCAGGGGTAAGTCAGTTACAACGACTGATTTGTTTCTGTCAAAATATGCATGAAATATGAATTCAGGACTTTCTGGATTCAGAAATACTTTAAATGGTCCAGATTGCTGGTAGTTCTTGAAGATAACATTTTAAGTTAGCTTATTTTCAAGTGAAGGATTTTTTTTTTTTTTTTTTGGACCATTATTTTAAAGTGAAAAAAAATATTTGTTTTAATTTTAATTCTACTCTTTTAGAAGTTGCAAAATAGCGCCTTCTATAGTATAACAGTGAAAACATGGATAGCCGGAAAGTTTTGTCAATGGAGGGGAAAGAATTAACATAGGACTATGTTAAGAGTAAAAAAGACAGTTGCTCACATCACAGACAAATGTTAATGTTGTGATTATTATTTAATTGGTTAATTCATTACAATTCGTCATAGTTAGTTAATAGTTCTTAATGAGGCTAATGTCATTTTGTAATTATTGATTGCCTAATAAGTCTAAAATCTAGAATCCTGGAGCATAACTTCAAGATATTAGTATCCTGACCAGGGAATCCTGAAAATTAATCTGTGTGGATAATTTCTATAGCTCAAATAATCAGAGAAGCATCATTAGCATTGATGATATGCTTGTTTACTTGTCATCTAAGACCAGTGTTAGTGTGTTTTTTTCTCACTAATGGGCAGTTCCCTTTCAGTTGGTCACTCTCAACGTACGTCAGAGGTGATCCGACGAATGGGGGGCTAGCGCTCCCCAGCCCGTCTCACTGGCTCATCCGTACCATCAGACTCGGCTATGCGATTCTGTTTGCCTGGCCCCCGCCCAAGTTCAGGAGCATCCACTTCAACTCCGTGCGGAGCAGCAATGCCCCACGTACCAGGTGTCTGTCACCCTGCAAACCTTCAGCCAGTGGTTGGACCCTTCGTTTCTATGAGAAGGAGTTCCCCTAGAACAAGTGTCCAGTTAGTGGTGGACACTATCACTTAGTCTACGAGGCGCCTCTATGCGTTGAAGTTGAGGCGCCTCTATGCGTTGAAGTTGTGATAGATATGTCCCTAAACCTAACTACGTCCTATAATGTTTATACTCTAGTGCGTCTTCACATCGACGTCGGCCGGGTGCCAATCCTATACTCTAACTAACCTGCTGCAGCAATAATAAACAGACATACCTCAGCAAATGTCTTCTAAATGCATTAATCACGGCCGGGAGATCTCAGAGCAGTTCTCCAGAGAATCTCCTAAGAATAAGCAGGGCTGGAGGATCTCAGACAGATTCCATTGAGAATCTCAACACAAATACAACAGTTTTCATAGAATAAGGAGGCATGGCAAAAATGACATGAAACATTACATAATTTCCCCAAAATTTGATTGGTTTTCATATGCAAACCTTTCTGTTACTAGGTAAAGCAAACTTTGTTTTAATGATTACTTCATTGTTAATCACAAGGTTCTAACCTAATCATTTGTCTAGTTTCATTTCCCATTTAGGGCCCTATCTTGCACCCGGCGCAAATGACTTTGTACACTGATGCATGTATCATTCCTATTTTGCACCCGCGCAAATCGGGCTTTTCCCTCCACAGACGCACGTCGGTAAACTAGGAAATGAACTTGCGCTCCCTGGGCGGTTCAGCGCAAAAAGGAGGTGTGTTTCGGCGCAAACAATCCCTGGTGCTATTTTGCAGTTCCAGTAAACAATTCCGCCACTGACCAGAAAAAACCTAGTCTAAAGTCAGTGGCGCGTTGTTCATAATGCTATTTTAAGCGCGCATGCTTGGCCATAATGTAGCGGATGCACAACGCGCATACACTTTGATTCTCTCATCAACACAGATGCAGCAGTTTTTATTTTTGCAAATCATACATTATAACAAGGAAAAATATTAACACATGAGGGAAATCATTGTGGTGTCCATGAAGATGTAAAAAAATGTAGTTTTTTTCCTCCCACGCCTGTTTAACCGACGCTGATTTGGGTGGGTTTCTCCCATCCCCATACAACGTCACTTCTCTGTCTTTCACTGCCCTGACAAGAACGTCGGTCTCCTCGGCTGTGAACCGCTTCTGGCGCGCGCCTGGTAAATCCGCCGTTATAATAGCAATCCGCCATGCAACATGCGCACCTGCTCTTAAAGGGTGTGTTGGATGACGTTCTGATTGGTTTATTTCACGTTACGCCCAAACCACACCTATGAATAATGAAGCTATTTCAGACCAACCCCTTTTAAACTTGCGTCGGGCGCAAGAGTCATTTATCCCGCCGGTAAAATAGCAACAGCGCCCAAGACCCGCCCACAAAGTTACTTGCGCTTCGCACTTGATACTTGCGTTTCAGATCGTTAAAATAGGGCCCATAATGTTATTTTTACACTCACACAACCGAAGTCATGAGTTTTCACCAAAGGGGACACATGCATTTAGCCGAAGAACAGAACGTCTTAGTACATAGTGTTTCAAAGTGTTAGTATGTTAGATGTTAGAAACATGGTTAGTTTAATATTCAGTTTAAAATTTCCATCACAAAGTGGAACCTGTTTGTTGAATGGTGTTCTTCCCACCGAAGATGCTCAGTCAGTGTTCTGCTTTCCTTCCTGCAAGATGGGTTGGAGCGAAGACTGTCTCCCTCCATCCTCAAAGTGTATGTAGCTGCAATCGCCGCTCATCACAATGCAGTCGAAGGTGAGTCCATAGGGAAGCATGACCTGGTCGTCAGGTTCCTCAGAGGTGCGAGAAGGTTGAATCCTCCTCATCCTACCTCGGTTTGAGATTTGTCTCTGGTGCTCACTGCACTTCAGAGGCCTCCCTTTGAACATTTACAGTCAGCTGAGTTGAAGATTCTGTCACTAAAGACAGTACTCCTGACTGCATTGGCTTCCATCAAGAGGGTAGGGGACCTGCAAGCATTTTCGGTTGAGTAATCCTGCCTAGAATTTGGGCTGGCCAACTCTAATGTTGTCCTGAGACCCCGGCCTAGATACGTGCCCAAGGTTTCTACCAGTCTCTTCAGGGACTAATATACTCAAGTGGAGCTCTGGAAGGGCCAGCAACAGTGGCGTGTTGGTAAAATCCCCATTCGTCGGATCACCTCTGATGTATGTTGAGAGTTACATAGTATGTAACACTCCTTCCCTGAAGGAGGGAACAGAGTCGTACGTCCCGTCGCCACAGTTGCTGAACCTCTGCTGTACGGCTGAGTCATAAGGTCCGGCTCCTCAGTGGAAAAACAATATGCTCCTCATCCGCTTTCGTATTTATACCCACGGGGCAGAGCATCGGATGCGTGTTCGCATGCCAATGTTCATTGGCTCGTTTAGTTGTATTATTTTTAAAAAAAACTTTTTTTATTAAGTAGATTTCTTTTTGTTGATTTTTTTTTACAGCAGGTGACATCATACAATGAACAGAATAAACACTGCACAGTGGGACCGGAATGTCACCTGCCACTGGTCCCCTACCCACCCGCAAACCAACTCAACACAGCCCCATAAACGAGGACAGACACACAGACCCATGCACACCAACAGACATTCACCAGTACAGACACATCTTACAGAATAAAACAGTAAAGAAAAAAAAAGGTAGACAAAGTAAGTAGAGATAGGCGAGAAAGAAGACACAAAGGGAAAAGGAGAAAAGATAAAATGAACGGGGTAGAGAAGAAAAAAAAATGGAGGGGTTCAAACCTCCAAATCAGGGGACAAGCTGAGGGAATCAACCAGCCCCAGGAAAAGGTTCCACGTCCCCAGAAATGTTGAGATAGAGCCTTTCAAAGAGGATCTGAGCTTCTCCAGTCTCATATTGTCAAGCACTTCTTTAATCCAACGGTCGTGCGTAGGAGGGCGGGGGAGCTTCCAGTTGAGCAGAATCAGCCGTCGAGCTAGCAAGGACGTAAATGCCAGGGCCCACCTCAGCGCAACAGGGAGGTCAGTGTCTGGGGAGATTTGGCTCGTTTAGTTTACATTTGAAGTGGATTGGTCTCTCAAACGAGATCCCAAATTGTCGGATCACCTCTTGCGTACGTCTCGGTTCCCTCCTACAGGGAACGAGGGTTACATATGTAAACAAGACGTTCCCTTTCGTTGTCACTCCGAGTTCCGTCGGATGACGACGAATGGGGGTTTTGCTTAGGAAGCCTATCGACTTCGAGTACTACAAAACGAGCCAATGGCAAAGAAATGCCATGGGTCTGCGGAATTTGCATAGCGTAACTCCACCTCACCTCGTGGGTATTTAAGGAGAACGCTGGCAGCAAATAGGCATGTTTTTGCTACGGAGCCAAGAGCATCTCTTCACTCCACAGCCATTTCTGACTTCACTCTACGAGACGAGCCTCTCTCTCCGGTGTTGGTGTGACGGCGATCTGCAGCGAGTTCATATTGCCTGCTGATCTGTGCAGTGATCTGCCAATGAGTGTGTTTCTCCCTGCTCGCTTCAACATCGCAGAGTTTTTTTCTCCTCTCACAAAAGAGCTTGCACGCGTCTTTTTAAAGACGGCTCGCCCGTGCATTTCTGGTTGCGGTCGACTCATTTCCGATTTTGATGGGCACATTCTCTGCTCTGCGTGCTTGGGCTTGATCACGCTAGAGCAGCGTTTGTGGCTGACTCACGTTCTCCCCGCGGGAACGTGACCATCGTGTCCTTACGGTCGAGACTCAATGATCTCGTTAGAGAGAGAGTCCCCTCATCCACACCCCGATCTAACACTCTCCACGTGAGGTGCTACTTCGGCTGGTGGCCAGGGTGACCTGAGGGTGTGAGTGTGGAACAAATCCGCCGACTGTTTGTCCGTGGACCACGCCCCCTCTTCGGTGACTCAACCCGCGAGTGTTCAGGGGATTCCCTGGGTCTATTTTCGGATGCCCCGCGGGTTTCCCTTGACGCTCCAGAATCGGATCTGTTGTCCATCGCAGCATCACAGGGCGGGCTAGAATCTTCAGGAAGTGAAGATTCGACAGTGCTGCCACTTTCGGGTGTGCATATGGCATTTGTCGAGTCAGATCCTGAGATGACGGCCATGCTTTCCCGGGCCGCTGCGAGCATCGGACTAGAGTGGAACCTTTCACCCTGTCCGAGCGCTCGCTGCTGGACGATTGGTTTTGGGTGTGGCCGCTGACTCCTGTCGACGTCCACTCCAATGCCTTTCTTCCCGGATGTGCATCAGGAGATCTCGAAATCCTCGAAGACCCCGATGTCTTCCAGCGATCCCTCGTTGATCTCCTCCGCCCTTCCTTCCCTCGACGGGGCCGCTGCCCATGGGTACACTGGGGTCCCCCTGGTTGAACGCTCTGTTGCGATGCTACTGTGTCCTCAGAGTGCTTCCTCTCGGCGCGATCCTAAGCACCCGTCCAAAGCCTGTAGTTTTTCGTCTACAGTTGTGGCGAATTCCTATAGCGCTACAGGACAGGCAGCCGCCTCACTGCATGCCATGGCCATTCTGCTGGTCTACCAGACCCAGATGCTCACGGACATGCACGAGGGCGGGACTGACCCAGGGCTCTTCAATGAGCTGCGCGCCGCCACTGACCTTGCTCTCCGAGCGACGAAAGTGGCCGTACGCTCCCTGGGTCAGGTGATGTCCACCATTCTGTGGCTGAACCTGTCTGATGTGCAGGATGTCGGGCGGACCCATCTGCTTGACACCCCCATATCCCAGGTCGGCCTCTTCGGCGGTGCGGTTGAGGGCTTTGCCCAACAGTTCTCAACCGCCCACGAGCAGACTAAGGCTTATTCTGCCCCGACGGCCCCGCCGTCCGAGCAGATCCCTCGGTCTACCCACCGCCGAAGGTGCCCTCCTGCGGCTCCCACCCCGCCCGTTCACCCGGGCTGGCTCTGGAAGCCGCAGGGGGACGCCACAGCCCTCTCCAGCCCCGCCCCCCGCTATACGCCGGGTTAAGCGGCACTCTTGAGATGGGCTGCTCAGAGATGGGACTCAGTTCTTTCCAGGAGCTGGTAGCAGGGCCACTCCTTTCCCTGGTGGAGGGCCGGGGAAGAATCCTTATTCCAGAAAGAACTGACTCTCCCGTCCACGTCTGGGTCAGCCATACCGCCTCGCTGCTCCACCGACGGGAAGTCTGTGGTTCGCATGACCCCGCTGGTACAGTCCTTTGGGAGCCTGGCTAGAGCTTCCCAACCTGTCGCGCGAACGATCAGGCTCGGCTACGCGATTCAGTTCGCGTGGTCTCCTCCCCGCTTCAGGGGAGTCCGCTCCACTATGGTCGGTGGCAAGGCCCCTATCATGAGAGCGGAGGTGGCTACCCTGCTGGCGAAGGGTGCGATCGAGACTGTCCCTCCAGCTGAAATGAGGACCGGCTTCTACAGCCCGTACTTCATTGTCCCGAAGAAAACCGGTGGGTTACGGCCCATCCTGGACCTGCGCGTTCTGAACCGCTCCCTTCACAGGCTGCCGTTCAAGATGCTCACCGCCAAACGCGTTTTCAAATGTGTGCGGCACCAGGATTGGTTTGCAGCGATCGACCTGAAGGACGCCTACTTTCATGTCTCCATCCTCCCTCGACACAGACCGTTCCTGCGGTTTGCTTTCGAGGGGCAGGCATATCAGTACCCAGTTCTCCCATTCGGGCTAGCCCTGTCTCCTCGCGTCTTCACGAAGGTCATCGAGGCAGCCCTTGTTTCCCTCCGGGAACACGGGGTTCGCATTCTGAATTATCTCGACGACTGGCTAATCCTAGCTCACTCTCGAGATCAGCTTTCCGAACACAGGGACTTGGTGCTCCGCCATGTAGCCCGTCTGGGCCTTCGGGTCAACTGGGAGAAGAGCAAACTTTGCCCCGTGCAGAGGATCTCTTTTCTCGGTAAGGAGATTGACTCGGTCGCCATGTCCGCGCAGCTTACGAGCGAGCGCGCGCAGTCACTGCTGACTTGCCTGAGACCGTTCGAGGGCAAGAGTGCGGTTCAACTGAAACTTTTTCAGAGGCTCCTGGGGCATATGGCATCTGCAGCCGTGGCAACACCGCTCGGATTGCTTCATATGAGACCGCTTCAGCTTTGGCTTCGCGACCGAGTCCCGAGGTGGGCATGGCAACACGGCACTCTCCGAGTACCAGTTACTCCGACTTGCCGTCAGACCTTCACCCCGTGGTCGAACCTCAGTTTTCTACAGGCCGGTGTGCCCCTGGAACGAGCTTCCCGGCATGTTGTTGTAACAACAGATGCCTCTGCCACGGGCTGGGGTGCCATGTGCAATGGACGTGCTGCCGCGGGCTCCTTGACACAGTGATGGAGTACTCGAGTCCTCGACTCGGACTCGAGTCCGACTCGAATCCTTATTCTCTGGACTCGAGTCCGACTCGAGACTCTCTGGACTCGTGACTCGACTTGGACTCGCGGACTGATGACTAGTAGCCTACTTGGACTCGGACTCGAGAATATATAAAATCGGTCTTGAGCATTCATCAAATGAATGACGTTGTTTCTGACTAAATAGGTTATAAAATATTTATATAAGATGTTACACTTTTCCTGTTTCGGGGTCCAAGACCGGCCGTGATCTATTTTTTCCCTCACAGTGCCCCCTTGGTGTGACCGCCCACTCCACCCGGAGTGTGGCGTCCTCTTGGGCTTTAGCGCATGGCGCCTCGCTAACAGACATCTGCAGAGCTGCAGGCTGGGCGACACCTAACACATTCGCCAGATTCTACAATCTCCGAGTGGAGCCAGTCTCCTCCCATGTACTGCTTTTTCAAGCTAACATGGGAGCCGTTCAGGTGTCTTCGCTTGCTCGCCATTCCACTCCACGGACTGGATACGTGCGATATTCTCCTCAGGTGAGCTTCCCCGAAAGCCCTGAGTTCCTCCAGCACTCCTGACGTCGGCGCCAGTGTCTATTGCCTGCGTGTCGGCTAGGTGCCTTCCATGTGCATGGTACCTCCTCTGAGCTACCCCCACATGTGTATTTCCACTGTAAGCCTCTCTGAGCATGTGTCTTTCCCTCGGCAAGCCACCTTGCCACCCCTGGGGTTGAAATATTCCACCTGCGGCTGGACACCCCAGTGTTCTCCATATGCATCCCTCTGGGTCATATGTGTATTCTCTAAGTCCCCCCCCTCTTGGTTGGCAGTAATTGCATATTCCTCTAAGCTATGGGATATGCTCCCCAGTGTACCTTGGTATTCCTGTGCTAAATAGGAGTCCTTCGTCCGTGCTAGTCTCACGACAGGGATCTCAGATTTACGCAGGGCACTGGAAGACAGCTGAGAAGGTGGCGTGATTAGACTGGTATCCCCATTCGTCGTCATCCGACGGAACTCAGGGTGACAACGAAAGGGAACGAGGGTTACATCCGTAACCAAGACGTTTTCTTTCTTCCACAGGTTCCGGTTTGTTCCGTTCCTGACTGAGATGAGGGCAGTGATGGACTGGGTGTGGACAGACACCACTCTTAGCCTTTCTAACTGGATATGTGTGGAGGACATCTATGCCAACATCTTTATCCTCAAGTGCTGGAGGGAAGCGGAAAAGGTGAAAACTTGCCATCCAAATTAATTGTATTGTTAGGGGATTTACAGTTAAAGACAGAAGGACCAGATATGATTAATTAAGACCAGGAGTTAGAGGTACAGTCAATTTAAGACAAGAGTCAGAATTATAATAAATTGAAGATTGTTTGCAGTTTCATCAGGCAGAAGTCAGCTTCAAGACTCACAAGGAGTTTGTAGGCCGCCCCCCTTTACAGTTACAAAGATCACAGCAAGTATACCCTACACCAAGGTCTAAGCAACATCATTGCTTCAGGTTGAATGATACTGATTGGCTAAGAAATAGATAAACATAGTAATTGTCCACACATGGACTGATAGGCAGTAGCACATCTCCATAGTCTGTACGGCTGTCACAAGGACCCTGAGTTAGGGAGTGGCCCTCTGAGGTTACAAGACTGTGTGTCTAGTTACCAGCATGTCGAAGAAAACAAGTCAGTCAATCTCCAATAATGCCACTTGTTCCTTAACATGAAGCCAAGAATACTAACACAAACACTATCTAACTATAACTATAAACAGGAGACACTTCCCAAAACATCCATATAAAATGTCCTTTCTCTTAGTGAGAGGACACTGTAATATAAATCAGTAAAGTTGCTTTAACTAAGAAATGCTAACTTAAACTATTGGTTCTAAAGATCCTTGTGAGCTGTAGCTGTCATGGTGAGCTAGAAGAACAGATATATGTTTTAACACTTGTTGAAGACCTTTCTCAAACAAAACAAGTCCATATTTCATTTCTGGAAGCCGGGCGAAATTAGCAAGCACTGTAACTGCATTCCTGGCATGAGCCAGACCCCCAGTCACCTCTCAGATATTTTGATATTTACGACATATACAAATATTGATTAATACCTTGATTATAATCACTTATTTGATATACTTTGAGGCAGCAGTGGATTCTAGAATCCACTCCCTTCAGTATTGTCTTTTTAAGCTAATGCATTTGGGTTCATTGTAATTTGAGCACATGAGTCAGTGTAGGTCAGTGGTTCAGTACCTGTAATTCTCTTTTTCTCATTCAGTAGCTGTAATATTAGAATATTTCTATGTTCAGTCGGTTTTACTTAAACATTAAGTGTCTGTCACACAATCGTGGGTGAATTACCAAAGTTGTGTTGCAAAGACATTATAATATAATGTCATGCTCTAGGGCAGTGGTTCACCTTGATCACACGCGATTCATTCAACTCATCGAAATTGAGAAACTTGTATGATTCTAACTTGTGTGTCAGTGGTCACATGTGTATTCAGAATATTTTTTGGCCACAGAAATACCCTCATCAACGAGGACAGAGGAAGAAGAAGGTGGTGAAATACACCATGGGCGGCTTCATCATTTTTGCTCTTATCTGCATCGTCTGGTTCCCTCTTCTCTTCATGTCATTGGTTAAATCTGTAGCAGGAGTAACCAATCAACCATTAGATGTGTCCATCCAGCTGAGCATATTAGGATACGAGGTGTGCAATTTAACATCGATTTCAACATCGATCGACAGTGACATCGATGTCTTTATTATATGTGCTCACAACATATATTTCTAAAGTATGTTTATATCTGTGAAATATGTCTATATGTTAATATACACTCACCTAAAGGATTATTAGGAACACCTGTTCAATTTCTCATTAATGCAATTATCTAATCAACCAGTCACATGGCAGTTGCTTCAATGCATTTAGGGGTGTGGTCCTGGTCAAGACAATCTCCTGAACTCCAAACTGATTGTCAGAATGGGAAAGAAAGGTGATTTAAGCAATTTTGAGCGTGGCATGGTTGTTGGTGCCAGACGGGCCGGTCTGAGTATTTCACAATCTGCTCAGTTACTGGGATTTTCACGCACAACCATTTCTAGGGTTTACAAAGAATGGTGTGAAAAGGAAAAAACATCCAGTATGCGGCAGTCCTGTGGGCGAAAATGCCTTGTTGATGCTAGAGGTCAGAGGAGAATGGGCCGACTGATTCAAGCTGATAGAAGAGCAACTTTGACTGAAATAACCACTCGTTACAACCGAGGTATGCAGCAAAGCATTTGTGGAGCCACAACACGCACATCCTTGAGGCGGATGGGCTACAACAGCAAAAGACCCCACCGGGTACCACTCATCTCCACTACAAATAGGAAAAAGAGGCTACAATTTGCAAGAGCTCACCAAAATTGGACAGTTGAAGACTGGAAAAGTGTTGCCTGGTCTGATGAGTCTCGATTTCTGTTGAGACATTCAGATAGTAGAGTCAGAATTTGGCGTAAACAGAATGAGAACATGGATCCATCATGCCTTGTTACCACTGTGCAGGCTGGTGGTGGTGGTGTAATGGCGTGGGGGATGTTTTCTTGGCACACTTTAGGCCCCTTAGTGCCAATTGGGCATTGTTTAAATGCCACGGCCTACCTGAGCATTGTTTCTGACCATGTCCATCCCTTTATGGCCACCATGTACCCATCCTCTGATGGCTACTTCCAGCAGGATAATGCACCATGTCACAAAGCTCGAATCATTTCAAATTGGTTTCTTGAACATGACAATGAGTTCACTGTACTAACATGGCCCCCACGGTCACCAGATCTCAACCCAATAGAGCATCTTTGGGATCTGGCGGAACGGGAGCTTCGTGCCCTGGATGTGCATCCCACAAATCTCCATCAACTGCAAGATGCTATCCTATCAATATGGGCCAACATTTCTAAAGAATGCTTTCAGCACCTTGTTCAATTAATGCCACATAGAATTAAGGCAGTTCTGAAGGCGAAAGGGGGTCAAACACAATATTAGTATGGTGTTCCTAATAATCCTTTAGGTGAGTGTATATATAATTCGTATATGAATCATTTGAATAATTATATTAGAGCTGGGAAAAACAATGTGCTCATTTCCGTGAATGATATAGACTATGTTTACAGCCATTGTTCAGCATGAGCGCTCAGGAGAACAATTTGATCCCATTCTCTCAATCAGCCTTACAGAGAATGACCAATGACTACGCCACTTACCCGGTACACATTACATTTGTCCCACATTGTTCTCTACTATCACAGTTTAAACACCTAGACTGTCATCCTTCTGCCGTCAGACTGATCAAACTGTCCTCCTTGTGCCTCAATTAGTCTGCGATGCAGTTCATCGTGAACTATATGGCAGAGGATATAGTGATGGCAAAGATCAAAAGTGACGCCAGTCTGCTGTGGAGCGTCAGTCCTGCCAGCCGAGACGCCATGATCAATGAACTCAGCAACTCAACACACTTCTACATCACCCTGCGCTGGACTTTACTGCGGTATACTCTCACAAGCACAACAACTGCACACATTATACAGGCCAAAGGCTTGATGATGTATTCCAATGAAGTTCTTGAGCACAAAAGATCTGTTTAGCCGATCCCATACGTCCTGTCAGAATGTGAACATGTACCATGATGGGAAACAGTGCTGTATGTTCTCACTCATTTAGTCTTCTGTCTCATCTCATAATCAACATTTCACGTGCGTGTGATATGTCACTGTTTTTTGCTCGTTTGAGCAGAAATGCATCGCTGGTGATGAATGCTGAGACGGCTGGTGAACACACAGTGAAGTATGAAGACAGCGGACTGAGAGATGAACTGGTGTCTATGCTCAGAGGGACACACAGCCGTCCACTGTACGGGTTTCTCAAACATTTAAATGTGGACTCTCTCTACATCTGTTTTTGCCACTTCTCATTCCATCTGTTTTCTGATGCCTGCCAGGATGCTGGAAAATCTGCTGCCAAAGTATATCAGAGGAACTTCCGGACCTAATGCTAAAGTGGCACACCGACTTCAAGTGGGTGAGTTATCAACTGTATTTTGACATTTGTTTAAGAGACTTAAATGCTGACAATTGCACTATTTTTGATTTCCTGCAATGTTCTTGCATGTACTCTTATAGACAATCTTTGAAACTGTGTATTTTTAGCTCTTCTCGTGTTTATTAAGAGGAATCTCTTCATTGTTTTTTCTGTAAGTTGCTTTGCATAAAAGCGTCTGCTAAATGAATAATTGTAAATGAAGGGCATTAGAGCATCAGATCTGCAGGATGTTTTCGTGACTTTAACAGAATCATTCACAGAGCGTTCCAGAGGCTCGGATGACGGTCATCTCCAGTTCTTGCGTCCTCTGTCCGTCAAACTGCAGCGGGGGAACGGGAGCTCCGCAGGGATGGGGTCGCAGTGGTGGGTGGTGGAAGAGTGTTTTCCTGAGCCTCCAGCCAGCACATGCCAGAGTATTGAGATGGTGGTGTTCAATGATAAAGTCAGCCCGTCCAGTGTGGGCTTCCTAGCCGGATATGGGTGAGTTTAAGACATTTTTACAATATCTGGATCATGTCTGGTATGTAACTTAGATACATCCAGCTTTAAAAGAAAGTAATCAACTGATCAAAAAGATGGAAAATATCAAGAACATCTTCAGTATGCAATGAAGTGAAAGAGGATTCACTTTATCTAACAACATCTGCTTAATAAATGTATAATGTAATATATATATATATATAAATGAATATTTGAATAAAATGTTGATTTAAAATATGAAATCTATCCATCCTCTTGTTGTTTTCTCTCCTCGCGCTGCAGCATTGTGGGTCTGTACATGTCCGTAGTGCTGGTCGTTGGTAAGTTTGTGCGGGAGTTCTTCACAGGCATATCTCGATCCATCATGTACGAGGAGCTGCCGTGTGTGGACCGCGTGCTCAAACTGTGCAATGACATCTTTGTTGTGCGAGAGGCTGGAGAGATGGAGATGGAAGAGCAACTGTTTGACAAGCTCATCTTCCTGTACCGCTCACCTGAGACCATGATCAAAATGACCCACCAAAAGAATGAGTAGCTTTCATTTATGATGCATGACATTTCTGTCAAAAGATCAACCTCTGAACATCTCAGAAGGACAATATTGTATGACAGTAGCGTCTGCTATAAGGCATAAGCAGAAAGTCTTTTATACATTGTACTGCAGTAGTAAGAAATATGATGTGCATTTACATCTATCCATGAGGAGGTTTTGAAGCCATGAACTGCATAATCTGAAAAGAGCATCAATGTAAAAGAAATGATATATACAAGAATGATAAAGATTGTATGAAATTATTTATGCTTAATTGACTTCACTAGTGGTATATCAATATTCATACAATGCATGAGTATTTCATCTTCAATGTTTCAATGAGCTTTTTTTAATCAGTTAGCCAGTTTCATATGTTGTAATATTATGCTGTCCTTCCATATATGATCCACTAGTCGGTGTGTGTATAGTGATTCATATAATAAACCCTGGCATGTGGAAAACAACTTGTATTGCATCTTGTTGCTCAGCTGGAAAGTTCTCATTGAACATTAAGACTTCTTCTTACATTAAAAATCTTTGGTCTGGAGGAATAAATGAGCGATATTAAACGAGTAGGCGTGTGATGCGGCTCTACACGGCTACGAGTGTGATATGCGTTTATACAACAGTTCGACGCACAAGTGTGTAAATAAATAAGAAACAACAACAGAGTGTCTTTAAAAACACTCTTTTGTGCAGAACTACTTCCTTCCGCCACGGATTAAAACCTGAAGTTTAACAGTTGAGCTCAAGCCTCCGTTACTAATTCATAAACGTCACTTTAGAGCTAGTAATGCAGGAACGTTGAGTCACTTCATTTACCACACCTCAAAACATTGTTCAGATGATTTATTTCAAGACGTTTATCAAGGTTTTGTCATTAAAACGCTCTTGCATGTAGGACTAATTTCATACGCATAATCCCATGCTCCGTTGCTAATTCCAAAACGTCATTCCAAAGTTACTCACTGCTCATGCTCACATGAACACGTCCCCGGGTGACTAATAAGTGAACGAGCGGCAGGTGTGGAGGGAGTGGTGATTGGGGCACATGCTCCCAAAGTGGAGTATAAAGAAAGGCCATTTTTCAGAGAGAGGAGACATGGTGAAAAAAAAGGAGAACACGGGGGAGAGGTTCAGAAAGGCAGCGGAGGGAAGCCGTGAGAGGAGAGAACTTGTGGTATGTTTATTCTGGAGAACCCCAAGCCAGCGGCACGAAGGATCCCGGCGGAGATATGAGTGGAGGCTTAATTCACTGGGAGGTATTGTGGATTGCAGTGTCTAGTGTGGAAACAAGCACGTTTGAAGTTTCGAGTGTTTTACTGATTGCACGAGTGTGGGAAATTCTAAATTCTTCTTCCACTCGTAGTCCCAGCTGTTACTGATCCTCTGCTGTTCAGTCTCTGTTGCCAGGAATGAAGAACCATTGAGCCGGTGAGCGAATGGGAAGCTGTGAGCCGTTACTGATCCTCTGATGTTCAGAGCTGGAGGAACCATTGAGCCGGTGAGCGAATGAGAAGCTTAGAGCCGTTACTGATCCTCTGATGTTCAGAGCTGGAGGAACCATTGAGCCGGTGAGCGAATGAGAAGCTGTGAGCCGTTACTGACCCTCTGATGTTCAGAGCTGGAGGAACCATTGAGCCGGTGAGCGAATGAGAAGCTTAGAGCCGATACTGATCCTCTGATGTTCAGAGCTGGAGGAACCATTGAGCCAGTGAGCGAATGAGAAGCTGTGAGCCGTTACTGACCCTCTGATGTTCAGAGCTGGAGGAACCATTGAGCCGGTGAGCGAATGAGAAGCTTAGAGCCGATACTGATCCTCTGATGTTCAGAGCTGGAGGAACCATTGAGCCGGTTAGCGAATGAGAAGCTGTGAGCCGTTACTGACCCTCTGATGTCCAGAGCTGGAGGAACCATTGAGCCGGTGAGCGAATGAGAAGCTGTGAGCCGTTACTGACCCTCTGATGTCCAGAGCTGGAGGAACCATTGAGCCGGTGAGCGAATGAGAAGCTTAGAGCCGTTACTGATCCTCTGATGTTCAGAGCTGGAGGAACCATTGAGCCGGTGAGCGAATGAGAAGCTTAGAGCCGTTACTGATCCTCTGATGTTCAGAGCTGGAGGAACCATTGAGCCAGTGAGCGAATGAGAAGCTGTGAGCCGTTACTGATCCTCTGATGTCCAGAGCTGGAGGAACCATTGAGCCGGTGAGCGAATGAGAAACTTAGAGCCGTTACTGATCCTCTGATGTTCAGAGCTGAAGGAACCATTGAGCCGGTGAGCGAATTAGAAGCTTAAAGCCGTTACTGATCCTCTGATGTCCAGAGCTGGAGGAACCATTGAGCCGGTGAGCGAATGAGAAGCTGTGAGCCGTTACTGACCCTCTGATGTTCAGAGCTGGAGGAACCATTTAGCCAGTGAGCGAATGAGAAGCTTAGAGCCGTTACTGATCCTCTGATGTTCAGAGCTGGAGGAACCATTGAGCCGGTGAGCGAATGAGAAGCTTAAAGCCGTTACTGATCCTCTGATGTCCAGAGCTGGAGGAACCATTGAGCCGGTGAGCGAATGAGAAGCTTAGAGCCGTTACTGATCCTCTGATGTTCAGAGCTGGAGGAACCATTGAGCCGGTGAGCGAATGAGAAGCTTAGAGCCGTTACTGATCCTCTGATGTTCAGAGCTGGAGGAACCATTGAGCCGGTGAGCGAATGAGAAGCTTAAAGCCGTTACTGATCCTCTGATGTCCAGAGCTGGAGGAACCATTGAGCTGGTGAGCGAATGAGAAGCTGTGAGCCGATACTGATCCTCTGATGTTCAGAGCTGGAGGAACCATTGAGCCGGTGAGCGAATGAGAAGCTTAAAGCCGTTACTGATCCTCTGATGTCCAGAGCTGGAGGAACCATTGAGCGAATGAGCGAATGAGAAGCTTAGAGCCGTTACTGACCCTCTGATGTCCAGAGCTGGAGGAACCATTGAGCGAATGAGCGAATGAGAAGCTTAGAGCCGTTACTGACCCTCTGATGTCCAGAGCTGGAGGAACCATTGAGCGAATGAGCGAATGAGAAGCTGAGAGCCGTTACTGATCCTCTGATGTCCAGAGCTGGAGGAACCATTGAGCCGGTGAGCGAATGAGAAGCTTAGAGCCGTTACTGATCCTCTGATGTCCAGAGCTGGAGGAACCATTGAGCCGGTGAGCGAATGAGAAGCTGTGAGCCGTTACTGATCCTCTGATGTTCAGAGCTGGAGGAACCATTGAGCGAATGAGCGAATGAGAAGCTTAGAGCCGTTACTGATCCTCTGATGTTCAGAGCTGGAGGAACCATTGAGCGAATGAGCGAATGAGAAGCTGTGAGCCGTTACTGATCCTCTGATGTCCAGAGCTGGAGGAACCATTGAGCCGGTGAGTGAATGAGCGAATGAGAAGCTTAGAGCCGTTACTGATCCTCTGGTGTCCAGAGCTGGAGTAACCATTGAGCCGGTGAGAGAATCAGCGAATGGGAAGCTTAGAGCCGTTACTGATCCTCTGATGTCCAGAGCTGGAGGAACCATTGAGCCGGTGAGCGAATGGGAAGCTTAGAGCCGTTACTGATCCTCTGATGTTCAGAGCTGGAGGAACCATTGAGCCGGTGAGCGAATGAGAAGCTTAGAGCCGTTACTGATCCTCTGATGTCCAGAGCTGGAGGAACCATTGAGCCGGTGAGCGAATGAGAAGCTGTGAGCCGTTACTGATCCTCTGATGTTCAGAGCTGGAGGAACCATTGAGCCGGTGAGCGAATGAGAAGCTTAGAGCCGTTACTGATCCTCTGATGTTCAGAGCTGGAGGAACCATTGAGCCGGTGAGCGAATGAGCGAATGAGAAGCTTAGAGCCATTACTGATCCTCTGATGTCCAGAGCTGGAGGAACCATTGAGCTGGTGAGCGAATGAGAAGCTGTGAGCCGTTACTGATCCTCTGATGTTCAGAGCCGGAGGAACCATTGAGCCGGTGAGCGAATGAGAAGCTTAGAGCCGTTACTGATCCTCTGATGTTCAGAGCTGGAGGAACCATTGAGCCGGTGAGCGAATGAGAAGCTGTGAGCCGTTACTGATCCTCTGATGTCCAGAGCTGGAGAAACCATTGAGCCGGTGAGCGAATGAGCGAATGAGAAGCTTAGAGCCGTTACTGATCCTCTGATGTCCAGAGCTGGAGGAACCATTGAGCCGGTGAGCGAATGAGCGAATGAGAAGCTTAGAGCCGTTACTGATCCTCTGATGTCCAGAGCTGGAGGAACCATTGAGCCGGTGAGGGAATGAGCGAATGGGAAGCTTAGAGCCGTTACTGATCCTCTGATGTCCAGAGCTGGAGGAACCATTGAGCCGGTGAGGGAATGAGCGAATGAGAAGCTTAGAGCCGTTACTGATCCTCTGATGTCCAGAGCTGGAGGAACCATTGAGCCGGTGAGCGAATGAGCGAATGAGAAGCTTAGAGCCGTTACTGATCCTCTGATGTCCAGAGCCGGAGGAACCATTGAGCCGGTGAGCGAATGAGAAGCTTAGAGCCGTTACTGATCCTCTGATGTTCAGAGCTGGAGGAACCATTGAGCCGGTGAGCGAATGAGAAGCTGTGAGCCGTTACTGACCCTCTGATGTTCAGAGCTGGAGGAACCATTGAGCCGGTGAGCGAATGAGAAGCTTAGAGCCGTTACTGATCCTCTGATGTTCAGAGCTGGAGGAACCATTGAGCGAATGAGCGAAGGAGAAGCTTAGAGCCGTTACTGATCCTCTGATGTCCAGAGCTGGAGGAACCATTGAGCGAATGAGCGAAGGAGAAGCTTAGAGCCGTTACTGATCCTCTGATGTCCAGTCTCGATCGCCAGTAATGAAGAACCACGGAGCCAACTTTTAAAAAGACTTTTTATAATCCAACAAAGAAACATTGTTATTTATTTTAACCTCTGGTCTGCCTCGTGTTTCCACGGTCTGCTCCTCGGGCAATGTTTCGGTTTAGGGGTGGGCGGCCCGCTGGCGCTCACCCCGATCTGTGACAAAAACGTCAACAGAGGTTTGAGCCACTGACAGCAGACTAATGCTGGGACACACATAACCACAGCAGCAGATTTCACAGGTTTGAGTCACCGACAGCAGACTAATGCTGGGACACACATAACCACAGCAGCAGATTTCACAGGTTTGAGTCACTGACAGCAGACTAATGCTGGGACACACATAACCACAGCAGCAGATTTCACAGGTTTGAGTCACTGACAGTAGACTAATGCTGGGACACACATAACCACTGCAGCAGATTTCACAGGTTTGAGTCACTGACAGTAGACTAATGCTGGGACACACATAACCACAGCAGCAGATTTCACAGGTTTGAGCCACTGACAGTAGACTAATGCTGGGACACACATAACCACAGCAGCAGATTTCACAGGTTTGAGTCACTGACAGCAGACTAATGCTGGGACACACATAACCACAGCAGCAGATTTCACAGGTTTGAGTCACTGACAGTAGACTAATGCTGGGACACACATAACCACAGCAGCAGATTTCACAGGTTTGAGTCAC